AAAAGCTTTTGTGGACGAAGGACTTGAACAAGTTTTCAAAGGCACACGTTCGTTCAGAGAATGACTTGCCTAAAACTTATACTTAGAATTAGTAACATGAGACCAAATCTGGTATAAATATAAGGAAGGGTTAATAGGAGTCAAAATATAATGGAGGAATCATCTCACACTGAGTAATATAACTTGCCTTAATCTGAAATTTTTCGAAGCTGAAAAGTGGAATATGACTGTTTCGCAAAGCACAATCCATGACATGCATCAGATTTGTGCATTTCATAGATTCTATGTGCACAACGTAGTGAAAATTATAAGAAAGTTGTAGAATAAAGGGTGTAGCAAACCTTCTTGGTCTTCTTCTTCTTGGTAAAACCTGAAGCCATGTGGCGAGTCACCTGAGATGGCACAGAGCAAACAATGTTATGGTTTTACCATTTCCTCATATAATCTTGTCGTTCCTATAAAGCTTTAAACTTATCGTGATTTTGAATAATCATCGTAGTCGCTTCCCTTGGCTCAGTTACACGTACAGAAGGTAAAAATAGTTCGCAATCTGCTCTAAACGCCTAACAATGCGCCAAAAGTAGCACCGCCAGAGCAAACAGTACGAAACCTCAGTGCTGTCAGTTTTATGTTCTTTTGAAGTTGCTATCATATTTTTGTTTCGTTTCTCTGTTTTCCTCTAATGTTATCGAGCATGTCGCAATTATTTACGGAGTTGAAAGTAGACTTTATTTTCAGGATTTTTCAGAATCACCTCGGCCGAGCCTGATTGTTTTTTCGCCTCATACACTTGTATGTTGCAGCCGAGGTTTCGGGTTGACATCATCTTACCGATTTTTCAAAGGAGTGTAACGTAAATTGGCTAACACTACAATTGCCTGTAGATGGTGACAACGTAGAAAGGACGCTCGCACAGGCTTATGTACTAATAAGCATTATAACGTACTTATGATTGAAAAAAGGCTTAAGTAACTCGTAAGAAAAGTTGCTGGTTCTATTGATCTCTTTTTGCGAGCGAGAGTATAGGGTGGCTCTGATGCATTAAACGAGGTACTTCAGTTGCTAACCCATATATTCATTCCAGATCTCTTCAAAATCTAATTCCTGGTGTCCCCTAAGACACATACTCAGATAATCGCCGGGGGCAGGCGGTCCGCAAACTCGCGCTTTTCTGCAGGCGGTCAGCAGGATTTCGGGGCGTGGCCATATCTTCAACGAGCGGTATTTGCGTTTTCTGCAAGCGGGCATCAATACAAAATTTTCTGCAAGCGCTCGTCAAACAATCTCTTTCAGCGAGCGCTGGTCAAACTTTCAGCAGGCGCTCAGACTCTTTTTACGCAGTTTCGGGCGTACGCCGAGAAAAGATGAGACTCTATGTGGCAGAGGTGCCATCGATGGTTTTATTAACCAAGTTTGGGGTACTTTCTTTCAGCGGAAAGTACCTGAGGGCTGTGCGGTCCTTCAAAAAGGACCGTGCGGCTCTCAATAATTTTGCATGTTCTCGCGGAAAATCCGCGAGAATGCGGCCACTGTGCCGCAACTTATGTATAGAAAAACCGCGATAGATCTTCGAGCGTTCGTCTAAAAATTGGCCAAAATTATTCCAAATTTCTGCAAGCGGACCACAAAAAATCAGCGAACTATTTTTCCGGTGCCCGCTTGCTCAAAATTCGCATGGCCGCTTGCCCCCGGCGATTATCTGAGTACGACATCGGTCTTTTATTGATTACAAGTACATACGTGCACTGAGTAACCTACATATCTTTTTTTCCATAAACCTCACGATCTCATACTCCAGCTGGAGCAAATGTACTATTATTCATTTAGAAAATTCTTCTTCTGTGCTTCCATTTTTCTTCTGCACACGATGAAATTTGCGTATGTACCATCTTGTAGTAAATTTTCGGAAAAATTTTGGGTCCTGAGGAGGTAAGTCGCGTTGTGAATAGCATCCCCCTCCCCTACTCACTCTATCAAAATTTGTACAAGAGTGCAAGGAAACATTGTAAACGTGTTGCTTAACTGCTTGAATCTCAACCCATCAGTAAAAAACGCCGAAAAGAGAGGGGAAGGAGGGAGAACGTAAAAGCGTCAGTTTGGCTGTATTGAGTAAGTGGTCTACTAGGCGCTAAGTTGCCTTCCGTTAAAGGTGAGCCTTGGCCTCTTTCTTTCTGGTCGTCTTGACACTGACAGCTCCAATGTTTGTCTATGTCGTGATGAGATGTTTATTGCGATACAAAACAGTTAACTTTCAGACCACAAAGAAGGCGATTCAGCGGTCAATAAAGTTCATATCAATCTTGATATATGGCTGAAATTAAAGACAGGTACAGTCGAGTCATTTCATATGTGTTATGTCCACTTGTCTACCTTTGGCATTCCTGTCATAAATTCTTGGAGGAGACAACTCTTCAAGTAAGTGTTTACAATGCGTTGTTAACGTTTCGTTTCCTTTTCAAGTACGATCACCTCGAAGTGATGTAAGCGACAGCAGACGGTCAGTCTCTCGCGTTTCTGCGATTGAAAATCAGAACGGGGACGCCAGAGATGGATGGCGTGTGCAATGAACACATGATCTTATGAAATGCTTCGACTCTAAGGCTTGTTTATGCTTATGATTATGTTTATGTTTATGTATGCACTCGTGGTGCGCCAAAAACAACTCGCAATATACTCAGTATTGAAAGAAATGTCCCTGTCAACTTCCACATTTCAATTCAAATACACAGGTGCAGTCATTAAGACCGCAAATAAGACCCGCTTGATTTAAGATGGTTTGCACATACTTTTCGCAGTGAGTGCGCGCTTTCCCAAGACTGTATTTTTGCTAAGACGCTGCCTTAGAACCTGCAAAAAGTTTGTATTTTTCTAAGCCATTTGAGTCTTCTACAGCATCTGGCTAACGCCCTACAAGACTGAAGTATGTTTATCTCTCACTTTACTCAAAACTTGAGTTCGGCGTATAGCGACTTTTATAGCGAACTAGCTGGCAAACTCGACTCCGCCCGGTCCTGCCATCAATATTTTAGTAATCAGCATGCCCACTTACATTCCCTGCCATCTCCCTGCCCCATTCCCCGCTTGAAGTTCGCCAGAAATTGAAAAAATTGATATCAATCGATAACGAAAAGTAATCAAAAAGTAGCCTACGACAAATAGACTTTTGGCATGATGCAATGGATAGAGTAAGGTGTGATAAACTTTTTCCACTTAATTGGGCTCTTGTTGATAAATTTTCTCATGTACCTGAACTAAACTACTCCATTTGATCAAGTGCTTAAAATATGTTCTAGATTTTCTTGGTAAAGTTCTACATAGTCATCTCTCTTACGCTCATTAGAACAGCACGAAGCACATATTATCTTGAGTTTATTCCCAAAAAACTGTCCGAGCGAGTTTTTAGCATAAAATTCTAGATTCGGGTCAATGACTGCTATTGCAATCGTAGTGCCTTATCAAGTTTACGCTTTAGTCCTTTTTGAAATGTGAACCTGCTTTTGGATTACATAGTGTTTATAATGAAGTTCTGCTGCATACGTTCTGTGACCTCTCTTCGCTTAACAAAAACGAAGCAAAACGGTTTGGTATATAATTGATGATCTTGACCTGCTTCTTATTTTAAGTATTATAAGTAGTAGGGTAAGCAAAAGTGCATCTGACCTTGAAAAGCTTGCGATATAATAATTCATTTGGTTGGCATTTCTCACCTACATAAATCATCGCACTTATTGTCGATCGCAACCTACCAAGATGTGAAAGTGCTTGCTATCTATTTTTGCGATGAAATTTTACAAATCGTAATTTTCAGTGCTTGAACGAAAGCGGTGAGACCATTTGGCACTGAAAAAGCAATGTAACATATCTTGTCAGCGTTTGCCAAATCAATCCAATTGCAATCTCATAAAATCCTGACACACCTTGAAATCAAAATCAAAAGTTGTCCTAAGCTGACTGGGTCATCTTTTTGCGGGAAAACTGATAAAAAATTTTATTGGCATAGTTTGCAAACTTTAGTCGAATTGAAGGTACAGGTTAGATAAATGCAGATCAAAGGCAAAGTACCATGTATTAGACTAGCAAAGTTAAGTTCTTAACGTTCATATTATGTAAATTGGTGGTCTATATACTTGTTCAATATAGAAAGTGTTCGCATTATTCATGGAAAATACCCGAGCCGGATGCAGAAAGTGCACGAGTGTGTAACGCTATGCAATTTTGGGCACAGCTAATTGTGTTTGAAGTAAATCTGTTTGAGCAAATAATAAATTTCCGCATGTGCTATTTCGTTACTGTAACCATCAACTCTGCCATAATTTTCTCTGCATAAGACCGTAATGGGTAACAATGAATCAATAATTTATGGCTTTAGTATCGCAACAAGTGCATCAATGGATTGATTTTCAAGATTGGTAATAGCTCAGTATTTCACAGCTAGTGTCTTAGCAACCATTCTTGCTCACTAATGTCTTTTAAGTCATGGTGAAAAGGTTAGAAACAGAAACTTGCAAACAAAGAGCGACGGCAGCTAGAACTGGAACAATCACACCCATCAAATTCCATTTTACGATCATATCTCTCATTGTTCGTAGTAGTAGTGGCAGAAACCGTTTCCACGCATACAGCCCGGGCAAAAACCATCAAGATTGGATGCTTTTTGTTCGTACCGCGTGTCATGCGTAAATCGAGACGTTAGCGTAAAGGAAGCTGAACAAAGCCGCACTTCAACGGTGGCAGGCAGTGACGGCAAGAAGAAGTTGACCTAACGCCTAAATCGGACGCCTTACCCAACATTTTGCTCAGATGGAAAAAATTGTGGTCTCGGCCACGATGAAAATGAAAACGTCGATGCATCTTGCTGTAAAGTCATCGTGAAATTGCCAGCATATAAAGCTGAAATCGTTAAGCGAACGTGTACTTCGCAGCCAACGCTAATTTGTAGGGGTGAGTTGAACAAAGTAATTTTTGTCGTCTTAGTAGAAGCTTCAACATTTTCTTATAGGATGGGCACAACAAGTACAACAACAATAATAGCAGGCGTGGCCGGTATAACCGCCGCTACGACAATAGTTTCCGTCCTTACCGTACTATACCTCGTCAACGATATCAACAGCTTCTATGATGCTGCGATAGAGGAGCTTCTAGATTTCAAGGTAATTCTCTTACAAAACTATCCAGGAATTCTCAAATTCTACTCTAGGACATGGCAAACTCAGCTTGGCACGAGATGCGACCTCCATACTCAAGAGATAAGAGGAGTATCTTTGGCATCTCAAGACAACGACGTCAATGGCCTGCTCATTGTAACTGTGGACCTGTGTCGCAAACTTGCCCTCAAGGACCACAGGGACCACCTGGACCACCTGGCGAGGACGGTGAACCGGGTCCACCGGGTAAACCCGGCAGACGTGGCCTTGATGGCATTGGCATCAGCTTCGGTGGTGGAGCTGCTGGCTGTATCAAATGCCCAACAGGTCCGCCTGGACCGCCAGGACCAGATGGAAAACAAGGTCCACCTGGACCTCAAGGACCACCAGGACCGAGTGCAGCAGGAGGTGGACAAGGACCACCAGGACCACCAGGAGAACCAGGAGATGCAGGACCAGCCGGACCGCCAGGACCACCAGGCCCCAAAGGACCAGATGGCACATCCGGACAGAAGACTGTCGGTGTACCTGGTCCTGCAGGTCCACCTGGACCACCAGGACCCCCTGGGCCCAAGGGACCGGATGGTACGGGCGGTGGACCGGCAGTTCCAGGACCACCAGGCCCACCTGGACCACCAGGAAAACCAGGACCGCCAGGCCCAGATGGCCCTCCTGGTGCACCAGGAGCAGGCGGTGTGCCCGGAGGCGATGGGGCCTACTGTCCCTGCCCACCTCGATCGAGCTCTATTCTTCGCCATAGAAGTCGTGTCGCTGCCAGGGGAAGAGTTGCTGCGAAAACATAGTCCAACTCTTCTATCTCGAAGTATCCGTCGGAGATATTGCTTCAGTGCAAATAAAATAAAGATTCTGCAGCTCATTTGTTGAAAACCCAAAAGCAAACTCGTATTTGCACAATGAAAGTGGTGGTACATATCTACAACAAATTTGGTTTTAAAGCACGATTGTATATCTGGGGTACTGAAATATGCAACAATGCAAAATTCGAAAAAGAAATTCCATAAGTGGCATAAACCTAGTAGACTTTTGATGATGATTTTACCGTCTTTTTTAACCCGACGTAGGCGAAATATTGGAGCGTCCAGTCCGCTCCGCCACTGGCTCCGCGAGATAGATTAAAATGAAGACGCAGGCTGCAAAACGGCGCGAATCTTCGCGGAGCGGACTTCCGCCAATCCAATTTCCGCCTGAACTGAGTTAAAACTTACTATACCTCGCTTATGAAGTATAATATTGGAAAGTTCCCGCAAGTGGGAGTTTGAAAGTAAGGTGAAATTTTGGTTTTTCAGAAAGCTTCCATTCGAAAGCTGTGCATAACACACAAAACTTCGATACCAGCAGCTTGACTATCTTCAAAGTCTACTATTGGACTAGCTCTAGTTTGCAAGAAGAGGCGGCCTTGCTAACTGGTGCCTGACCCTGCCTTGGAGCACGTCCATCTGCCACGTTTTTCGCAGCTACCGTATATGGTAGCATGCTAAGAACCCATGTCTATGTCTCTTCATTCTACTCGTTTTTGCCAAATTGCCATGTCATCGATGAGCGTTTGCGAAGCCTCCGGCGATGGGACGCGCTGCTTCACGTGAAATGTTTCGCTTACTCCGAGTTGAAACAGATTGCACCTCCCGCGAAAGTCAAATCGCTCAATTTCAGCGACTTAGCGATTTGCCAGATGACTGTAGATCCGCATGCGGCCTTCAAGGACATAGGCACGTAGCTTTTACGAACGCTTCTTGTAAAGTCTTGTCTTATTAAGTCTTGTAAAGCGGGCCTTCGACCAACATTGACGAATCGTTACATTGCTCAATAGGCATTACAAATCGCATGGAGTATGTCTTAGTCCTTAGGCTACATAATGTGCATCGTTACGATTCGGAGAAAAGTTTATGCTAGAACAATAGATTTAAGTCTTGTCTTTTGGTATTGTGCTAATCCAAAATTGTCTTTGAACCAAGGTTTCTCCGAAATGCTACCATCAATCATGTTGCTCTTTAAAGGCAGTATCCGAGCATAAACTCGATTTTGAGATTTTGCTTACCCGAGCCTATTCGCTATGCTGAATCCGAAAGTCCGCGCTGGAGTGGCAAAAAAGGGCTCTAACGCTGGAGGGAAATAAGCAGGTGGGCGGGGTCTTCTCCACTGTGAACTTAGTTCCTAGCTTCCCGAGCGATACTCTCGGTTCCGGTTGCAAGTCAAGTTGTTCGTACTTGACCGTTGTCGATGTCCAGGTCGGCTAACGGAATCGAGATCGCTCCAGAAGCTGGGAGGGTGAATTCACAGCGGGAAACACCCCGCCCACTTGCTGATTTCAGTCTGCGTTAGAGCCCTTTTCGCGCTTTCCACTGCGATTTTCGTATTCAGCATAGCTAGTATGCTGGGTAAGCACAAAATCTCAAAATCGAGTTTTTGCCCAAATGTCTTAAATGGCGAGCTTAGTGGTATACTTCAGCTTAATGGTGTACTTCAGTGACCGACTAGATTGTTCATGGTGAATTCATTAGGGTTGTTTCTATGACATTAGTAGAAAACTTTGCCAATTGCTACTCGTTAGAGAAGCTGTGCCAGGAATATTATGCATGCTGCTAGCGCAGATGCTCATGAAATTTGCAGTCTCTTGCATTTGAGAAACTCTGACCTGCAAATATTTTCCTCCTGTGCTTGATCCCCAAGCAGCTGTAACAGTGAGGAGTTGTGGAAATGTAGCATGTCGTAGACGAACGCGTCACTTCTCCCTCTCATTGTTTACGATTGTGGAACCAGCTGTGTCGTTGCGACGCAACCTCTTCCGAGGCGCGGTCCCTCAATAGGTATCTCGACGTACCAAAAGAAATTATTAGCGCAGCGAATTGGTCTCGCAACAGCGTGGTAGGCGCCTCAAGTACCTTACAGCAATGTGTTATTAGCCAGGCAGTGTATTCGTAGAAGGATGAGAATTATAAAAGCTGAAAGAGAGCAAAAACGAGCTCGAAAATTGCTAAGCACACTGGCACGAGTAAGTTCCAGTTGTACTCTTGCAAGAAAAAGGAGGTAAGACAAAAGGGCTAATAGCATGTAATCAGTGTCGCAAAGCGGCGTTACAACAGCCCACTTTGGCAACACCAAGCTAGTTGCTGAACAATTAATACGGTTTAACTTCGTTTTTACGGCTTTTTAGCTATTCTTCGCACATTATCGACTCCTTCTGTGTTTCTTTTGCTCTAAACTTTTGCTTTGCCAAGATTTACTACTTATCTTCGTTGCCCACTCTTATGTTTCTATTTTTTTGAAACGAGAAGAAATGTTTCAGTCTACTGCGACCAGCGACAACGAAGGTGTCAAACACTACTATTTACTTATTAATGGTGCAAGAGTGACCTACGTAAAAATGATTTTCTTTGTATGTTGGTTTCCATAATTTTGTTCGAATGCTATTTTTGGTAACAAAGTAAAGTGCATTTTTGCTGTACTTGGAAGAATTTTAACATACAAGTCAGAAAGTGGTGTAAACTTCCGCTGAAATCATCAAATAACAAATTTAATCAAAACATCCTAGTAGTTGATAGCGATGTGGCTATACCAAAATATGGTTTTCACAGAAGGTCAACTAATCATATGCGCTTTACTGTTATGGTACTCGTGGTAAGGTAATTTTATTTGCAAATAATTCTTGATCTATCACTAAGTTTCATTTTTTTTTGGGGGGGGGGGGGGGAGAATGAAAGATATCATAGAAAGCTTATGTCGAAAATGGATCAGTTTTGTACGAGTAAAGAAAAAGTTGCGCTATGCAATAATGACAGTTTAACTATTAATTCCTTCAGATGGATTGCCCTTACAGAGTACAACAAAATTTCCATTCTAAGCACTAGCAAATCGTGCTCGTTTGTAACATCAATGAAACCAACAGTTTCTTACACTTCAGGCTGCCGGTTCTTTGAATGATGGCGAATTGCTCAAATTTTCGAACAAAAAACAGATGCTGCATCATTGATTCACAATCATTCCGTACTCGTTTTTTTCTCCCGTGACAATCAAAATACTAAATGGCAATTACCATTTGTTCAAATGCTAAATGGGAAAAGCAGCCTTCGATTGCATGTAAGAGGCCATCGTTGCTGCTTTTGCAGCATTCCTGAAGAGTGAATAAAATTTGTACCTCCACAACATCTGCACAAAAAACATGCAACAAGTATAATTTACATACATCTAATCCCTTGGCGACAGAGCCGTAATGTGTTGCAGCTAGAGAAATCTGTCTGTGTAACTGAACCAAATCATAGCCTAGCCGTCACGATTTGACACTTTTAACCATTTGGTCCCAAATCTCTACACGACTCATAAAGTGTGCGAATATAGTAAAAAAGAGATTGTTGCAGATCGCAAATGCATCGTGTGCGTCACAATGTCGGCGCATGCAAATTCCTCAGAAAGCACCTGCAATTTTCTTCGCTTAACAATAGCATTGATATTTTCATTTACAAGCTTCCTTCCGTACTGTTTCTCATTCGACATCAATGTGGAACTAGAAACTGGGAATGTTGATTTCAAGAGGGTGTGCCGTTCACGCGCCCGAGGAATTCTGCTGGTGAAAACCACTCATTCCCTTCTTCGCCAAAAAGTGGACTGAACAGATGCAGTCTGATTTAGGTAGCCGATATTGCGCATTACTAACCATATTCATCCTTGTTGCGCTGAACGCATCTGTAAGGGATCAGGGCTCAGCAGAGGTGGCGCTTACACACGTGGATATCGTTCTCTGGGGGAGAAGAAAAGGAAGATCGTAAAGATATTAGAGGATTTCTGGATCTAATAGGATAGCAAGCACAATTCCTCATAGTAAGCTAGAATTCAAGGCTCCAACGCCATGCAACCACTAAAAGGTCAATTTAACATGTTACACACTGTTAGTGCACCAACTCGCGTTCGCACAATTCCCAGCTGTCTAACATGATTGTTATGCACAAAAAGATAAACAAAAGTTTGTTTACAACGACTAAGCAATACTAAGCCATCAAAAATTGGTATATAGCTTCGCGACTATGGAGAAAAGATAAGCAAGAAAAATTATGACAAAATTATGTGAGTGGAGGAAGCTGTAAGTGTTTTTTCAGGTTGCTCTCGCGCATCCTGGGAGCACCCTGGGGTTGCGCGAGGCCAAACAAAGTCGTGAATTATCCACTTCCTCACATAAATTTTCGAAAATTTTTACATAAATCTATTCTCCAGGTCAAGCTCCGTCTAGGAGTTCTTACTCACTTTAGCTCAGATTTCGACCCCTCTACTTTGCTAGGGCACTTGACATTATGAATACCTCCTTCCTTCGCGCCTTCCGTTGTTTTACTCCGAATTTGTTGGTTCTTTCTCACTTTTAGCCACTCAGTTTGCTGTAGATTACAACCCGTTCTTCCAAATAAACAAAGTGTTCGTAAATTCTGCAATGTCAAAGGGAATTTTGTTTTTAAGATCGTCAAATGCCACCTCGACTTGGCCCTGTAACGGATGGGCAATATAAGCATCTGGAACTTCGAAGCTAAAACTTAATTTCACTTATTTTCTGTGCCGTACAGGTTTTTAACGATGACACACTTTATTGCCTGACGTTTAGAAAGGTTACAAGAAAGGAGGACCTTTGATATAAAACTTAATTCTTCTTTTGTTTGCCAAATTTTTTTCACCAAAGTACGGTTCCAAGATTGATGAGCTAGAATCGCTGTTTGATATATATGGTTTTTGCCACCTGTTTGTTGCTTAGCATGTACTGTGCTTGAGGTATCAAGTCGTAACATAGACTTTGAGACATTTTCTTCGCTTCTTTTTGTTAAACTTTAGAAACTTTTCTATGCATATATGAGCAAAGCACAAAAAGCACTCAAAAACAACACCATTGCCTTCACAGACATGGCTTACAGTGAAAGGCATTTTATAACGCAATCAAGCTCCACTTTTGCGTATCTTTCAAACTTCCGTTCTTTTTTACTTTTCTAGATCTTTCCTGGACCTTTGAAAGCATCAGTACTAAAACGGGGATAGTCTGAGAGTTCAAACTTTTAAGTGACGCATATTCGATTGTCAAAAATGATTTGCAAAGCCTCAAAAATGAAAGGCCTTTAAAAAGCTTTAAAAAATCAGAGTTCCAAAAAAAGAAGCACCGAGTAAGGGGTAATTGTGACTAGTACAGCGCACAGTTAAGGATATTGCTCTTTTGAGTTTCTTCCTCGTTCTTCAACCGCCATGGCGGTTAAACGTGGAGGAAACTTAAAGTATGAGTAAGCCTTAAGAGTACTCATAATTTTTGCAATGTAGCATTTTCTAAAAATGCTTTAGGTTAGTGTCACTTTTATTCCTTCTCATCTGTCCTTACAAAGTTTTTGAAAGAAAATTTGTAAGAGCACTAATCTAGAATTTGATACAAACTCCGCTAAAGCAGCAGACTCCACTTTTTGAAAATCCAATTTTTTATCAATGGTAAGCGAAGTCTTACAATGCGCTGAAGAGGCTATCTTTGCTGTTTCTCGCTTTTCAAGAACCTAACCCTCTAACTCTAAGTCATCGCGACTACTCGTATACGTTGCGTCATATTGTCAACATGACGCGGTTCCCGCGAGACTTACACTCATAATTAAAGGGGTACTCTCATGGAACGTTATATAATGGTAGAGACACTAGCGTAGAGAAAGCTAGACAAAGCCGCACATGAACGGAGGCGGGCAATGACAGCCAAAAAAGTTGACTTACCGCTTTATCTGAACGCCTTACGAGACATTTTGTTAAAAGTAAAAACTGTGGTCTCAGTATGATGAAAATGAAAACATCGATGCACCTGAAAGCGTTGTAAAGTCATTGTGAAAATTGCCAGCATAAAAGCTGAACGTTCAGGGCAAACGTGTACTTCAGCGACAGACTAGGTTGTTCGTGGTGAGTTCATTAGAGTTGTTCCTATCACATTAGTGGAAAACTTCAACATTTTTTTCAGATGGGTACCCAAACAATAGTGACCGGCGTTGCCGGTCTGATGGCTACGGCAACAGCATTCTCCATCCTTACCGTTTTATACCTTGTCAACGACATCAACAGTTTCTATGACGAAGCAGTCGAAGAGCTCTCGGATTTCAAGGTAATTTCTCTCCATATTTTATTATATGAACAAATTTCGTTACAGGACATGGCAAACTCAGCTTGGCACGAGATGCGACCTTCGTATTTAAGGGATAAACGAAGCGTTTTTGGCATCTCACGACAAAGACGTCAATGGCCCGCTCATTGCAACTGTGGACCTGCGCCAACAAGTTGTCCACAAGGACCACAAGGTCCACCTGGACCTCCTGGTGAGGATGGTGAACCGGGTGCACCGGGTAAACCCGGTGCACGGGGTCTCGATGGCATTGGTATCACCACTGCGAAGGAAACCCCTCCTTGTATCAAATGTCCACCCGGACCGCCAGGACCGCCAGGACCAGATGGACCACCTGGTCCACCCGGACCACAAGGACCACCAGGACCGAGTGCAGCAGGAGGTGGACAAGGACCACCAGGACCACCAGGACCACCAGGAGATCCAGGACCAGCCGGACCGCCAGGACCACCAGGCCCCAAAGGACCAGATGGCACATCCGGACAGAAGACTGTTGGTACTCCCGGTCCTCCTGGTCCACCTGGACCACCAGGACCCCCTGGCCCCAAAGGTCCAGATGGCACGGACGGTGGACCAGCACTTCCAGGACCACCTGGTCCACCTGGACCTCCGGGAAAACCCGGACCGCCAGGCCCAGATGGACCCCCTGGTGCACCTGGAACAGCAGGTGCGCCCGGCGGCGATGGGGCCTACTGTCCCTGCCCACCACGATCGAGCGCTATTCTTCGCCAAAGAAGTCGTGCCATTGCCAGGAAACGAGTTGCTGCGAAGCACTAGTCAAATCGTCTTGTTTTGGATACTTTTATGGATTTATTTGATTTGCTTCCCAGCAAAGGAAATAAAAGATTTTCGGTCTTTTTGTCTATATGTTTATATATAAGTCCTGTGAAAGGATGAAAATGAAACTACCATTGACGTGAAACTACTAAATGACGCGCGTCTTAGTCTTTTTATCGATATATTTACATATAAGCCCTGCCCAAGGATGAAAATGAAACTATCATTGACGTGTACAGAGTGACACGTCTTACTAATCATAAGTCTTAATGCAGTGGTGTAGTCAGAACGTTATTTATTAGATTCTACCATGAATTCAAAAAAAGACGGTTTTATCAATGACGATGTTCATTTTTTGAAAAAAGTACAAATGTATTGAAAAGAATGATTGTTCTGAGGAAGTCAAAGAGGAAGAAGTGAAGTGAACGAGATGCAAACTAAAAGAGATGTTTAAACTGGGTACGATACTGCAATATTCTTTGAATTCGTTCTTTTGGCGGTCCAATTTAGCATTACATTCTCCAAGACCAGAGAAAATTTGATAAAAACTAATTTCTTTGCGTTACTTCTGAACTGAATCACGGTCTAGAAGTGCATTTGGCAAAGGTAAGCAAAAAAGAGTTAGTTTCACAACTGAAACTTTTGTTTTTTTTTCAAAGTTAAAATGCATGTAAAACCCACTCTAAGTTTTGATGCGTCTTCTGATGGGTAACCCTGTCCTGTTGTTTTGATGCCTAGCGACGTTGTCAGCGTTGTCTTATCGTTTTGAGCAACCTTTAGGCATGAATATAGTAATTGCGGGCGATACCTATATTTGCAGCATTTTTTCCGAGTTCGCCAAGATCGAAAAATTTGATCTAGCGAAGTTGTCTACATAAGTTACAAATGCAAAATCTATCGAGTGCATGGAAAAAACAAGTAGAAAGGACCAACTTGAACAAAAAACAAAGAATTTTGAACGCACAGTACTTGCTAATTTCTCGTACGAGATAAAGTGAAGCTCAGCGAACTTGTTTAGTAGAGACCAAGAAGTAAAAGATGGTATACTGTTGCGATGATTGTTGAAGCAAAGGAAAAAAGGCTTCCTGAGCCAAATGCCCCGTGGATCGTGTGGAAGAGGGGGGGGGGGTAGTTAACGAAGGAGCGCGACAAGTGTAGGCGCAGACAAGTAAAGTAGGTAAAGCTGATCGAGAATTTACCTCTTACCTCTAGCGAAAGAATTAACTGTAATTTTAACAAAAGTTCGCAATATTATATCATACATCATTCTGTTCCCCACTAGACGACTAAGACCCATAACAATGTCAAGGCCGTTGGAAGTCTCAACAAGGTAAATCAACATTTTTGTCGCTGCTTTTGTGCAAGGTCAAACGCAATTTTCTATTTTTACTAAACTTCAACAGTCTTCGTGACTTTTTGAAACCCTCTCACTCAACAAGAAGTTGTTTGAGAAGCGTTGTTCCCATATGACAATTTTCCAATTTACATGACTCTATGTATCGTATGCTCCGTGCGCTAATTTGCTCACAAGACTTTGAAAAACACGAAATATCCTGTTTTAAAATAATAACAATATAATAATATACTCACAAGATGCGTAGTAATAACCTTGTGAGGAAACCGTTGCTCATCGTTTAGAATTTTTTTTTATTTTGCTTCCATCAATTCTGTGGGTTTCAAACTGCTTTACTCCATTGAGTGTCTTGCAAACGTTGTGCACTCTTTCCTCCAGAAAATTTTTTTTCGGAGTGCGAGCGTATTGCAAATTCAATATGCGTGCAGCTCTTCTAATCTTGTATGTAGGCATTCATTTGATCATTACGACAGCGACTGCGGTCTTTGCGCGCGCATACTTCACAAGAATATTAGCACCCATAAGAAAGGTGTCATTGCAATGCAATGTTCAGTCACAAGAAGTATCTAATGGCTATCATTTGCATGCAAATAATTGAAAAGCGAAAGCAAAGAGAATGCGTTTGCCGAGAACGCGCACATGATGCGCAGGCGCGTCATCGAGGATCCCATGGTTAATCTGTACAGCAACCACCAGCCATTGCGCAATAGTGAGGCATTGAATGGCGGAGAAAGCAAGAGTGTACATCAGAAAAAAATCAGAGCGCGGCTGCCGCTCAATTTCAATTTTTCGAGAAAAGAAGAGAAATGAAGAACAAAAATTGTTTTCTGTTATGAGATTGATTCATAATGCAACCTAGATAGTCAGAAAAAGCGACTTTTTTTCGTATCTTGTATATAAAGCTGAATGTCTGTCTGTCTGTCTGTCTGTATGTCTGTCTGTACGTATGTTCCGAATAGAAAATTCCATTTCTGAGCCGATCCGGATCAAACATGGCACACATACAAATCGGGCCCCGGCGGGTGTCATAGGTAGGCTACTTCTCGCGTTTTCATGACCGTCAGCAACATCTTTTCTTAATCTGTGCTAAAACTCCCACATGATTTCGCCTTCAACTAACGGATTTCAAGTTACTGCATCTCGCCCTACGCGTTGCTTACTTCGGGTGCTTTTACAAGATTGCTACAATCTAACAAGGTAAGGAAGGTTAGTCAAAGCGGTCTTTTGGTGTGAAATGACTGCTCATTGAAGAGTATGAAACAATGATTCCAATTCTACCTTCCCTTACTGCTGTAAGTTTCTAGGCGGGGAGTTAGGAAGGTTTTTGTGAGCAAAAATTGCATGGCAGCTAAGATAAAATCAGTCGTAACATTTTTTCTGCGGCTCAAATAATTTTTGGGTTATTCTGTGCACTGAACATTTTTAATTCAAACATATCCACTTAACTTTTCCGGCCGGCGGCCGCTCCATAAAGCTGAGCTGAGCTCAATGTTGACGGCGACCGCGCGAAAAAAAATTATCTGCTTGGCTTCACTCTACTACGGAGCGGAAGTGAACGGAAGAACATTGTACGAGCTTTGTACGCAAAGCTCGCCCCCCTTTCTCTCTTTTTTATTGATCGCGGTTCTTATGCTTCATTCGTGTCTTTATCATGTTATTGTGTTCCTAAAAGGAATGTAATGCGCATTGTGCTGTCACCTAGGGAGACCTAGATTTCGGCGTTGTAAATTAATGTTGTCCCATAGATACTTTTGATGTTACAAAATATTCCTTCCGCTTAGCGACAACCGCCGTCGCGGACGACGCAGAAAACGGACCTCCCTGCGAACACTTACTCTCCTTCGGAATGACTGCAGCGAGAGTCCTACATTTCTTTGAGTGCCAAAGTTGCATTATAACTAAATGGTTCTCCTCTACACTGGATTCGGAAGTGTGTGCAGCATCTGAAGCCGCGATATGCAATGATAATACGTACGCCTTCTATAATGCTTTTTACAATGTACCGAACACCGTAGTCGTGTTTGTTTTACGAAAACAAACTTTTCAGAGAAAACACAAAAAACTATGAAGGTGCACGTGCGCTATACTATTTTACTTCTCTTCATTATTTCAGCTGTGCAAAGAGACGTTGCAGACGACTTTTCCACGCTGGTATGATTTAGGTAGACGTTTAAAAGGCTGCGTGCTTGACCTGGCTGCCATATTCCGGCACGATCAACATAATATCGGTATGCTCGCTCTGAAATCTGCACGCTTTAACAATTTTTAGCACGAGAGTGGGCGGCCTGCTACAACAAAGAAAGAAATGCCCATTTTACGTGTACTTCTGCAGGTTTGTGGTATACAACTACTTATGTGGAAACGGCACGCACCACTTTGAAAAATGCACAAAAATTTCCGTTTTCTTGATTTCTAGAAGCGAAAAAAATACGGCAGCGACGTGTATGGATGCTTTATGTAGACTGTGTTTATGTGAGCAACTTAGAATTTTTGCAAAAAATTTATGAACTGAGTTACAATTTTTCCCAATTTTTCAGGCAGTTGAATCTTTTTAGGTTTTGGCTCGAAACTCGTGGTGAAACAGAGTTGTTGCTAAAGCAAGATTGCCATCTTGTAGAGCTTGTTTTGTTCTATCGAATGATGTTTTGCAACCTACTTAGAAATGAGAAGTGTATGACTTATTACGGTTGGAATTCAATACCTGCATTAATTTCCGGACAACCTAATATTAGGTTGTCCGGAAATTAATGCAGGTTTTGATTTTCAACCGCACTAAGTCATTCGTTTTCGGTTTTTTTTCGTTTTTTTTCGTCAGTCATTTGTTCCCTCTGAATAAGTTGCAAGATACCATTCGCTAGAGCAAAGCAAGCTCTATTAGATGGCAGTCTTGCTTTAGCAACAGCTCTGATCCACCACGAGTTTCGAGCCAAAAACTAAAAAGATTCAAGTGCCCGAAAGGTAAAAATCGTAAGTTACGTACCTTCGATACATAGAGCCACGTACTCTGGTGAGCTTCACTTTGACCGTTATGATAGAACACAACCTTCACCTAGAGGGAAGTCATCCGGGGCGAATCCCCGGATATCATGGCATAAAATGACATATCCATATAGGAAGAGATGTGAATGAGGTAAATATAGTAGTGACATCCAAAAGAAGTTCAAAAAACCGAAATATTAAGTTGTTATGGCCCTTTTTTGCCAAAAAGACTTTCTTTCAAAAATTCAATGAGGAACTGGAGCAAGATTTCTCAATTAATCTTTCTCTAGACTTCGAATGAGCGTTGGAAGTTCTTGAAAGCGCTGGAGTTTAATAGAAACGAGAAACTGCGCTCAAATCTTGCGCAGAGAGTCTCTACCTAGATGCTGGTCTATCTCGTTATGGAGTGATTTTCAAGACCCGCGACATTGTCAGCGCTCCTGGACGTCTCATGAGGATCACAACGATATATAATGTTACAGGGTTTCGTTATGATCCCGCGGAGATCAATGACCAGAGCCAAATGCCCCGCCGGCTCTGGTCTGTCTCCGCTGCTCGTCTGCGTCTCCGCGACTTGCGCGCTACCTCGCTACCCCAAAAGCGGGGCGCGGGGCATTTGGCTCTGGTACCCTTTTCTTCGTTGTTTCGAACCCAATTTTAGCAATCAATATATCATATTAAAGCTCTTGATCTCTATTTTCACGCTGACAACGTCGCAAGACTCCTTTTTATGATTTAAACGAGAAATATAGGAAAAACGGAGTTTTCGAAAATCACTTGTTTTTTCTTCATTTCAACTCTTTTCAATCGGTTTTTTTGTGTATTCGATAGGTCTTGTTTCTGTCTATGATGTAGACAACGTCGCCGAGCTTGCTTCTTTGCTTATGCCGGTTTTTTTGTAAAAATTACCAAAAAGTGCGTTTTTCTTTACCTTGTTCTTTTTCAATGCTTTTGCAACGAATTTTCTCCAGCTTGGACGTTACTTGCTCAGAATGATGAGCGGAAGAATCCGAACAACGTCGCAGGATACGAAACGACCATGCGGGGGTAAAAATTCAAAGGACGCGTCAAAAATCAGATTGGCGTCGATGTGCAGCATAACTTTTCAGACATGTTTAACATGTTCAATTCAGTTGTTGACAAGTTTGCCTTCCTTCGGTCTCCCATCTACCGCCACAGCTCACGCTTTTTTTAATTAGAAAAAACTTTATTCCTGTTGCCACCTAATTTAACCGGCAATTCTGAAGACAAAAATGTGCGTAGGAAACCACCAAGATAAGGTTTTAAATTTGGTGATGCGTTAGCCTCTGTTTTATATGAATTTTTTAAGTTTCCTGGTTCAATTCAGATCTCTAAATTTCCATCTATTTTTTCTAAAACAACCTTCACTTTTTATAGGGGGCAAGAACTCAAACAACTATCACTTTCTAGGCTCTGTCTCTTGACTATCGAAGGTATGATCGTAACTCAGATTTTAAGAATCCTACAGAAATTCTAATTTGCTCACGTAAACACAATCCACATCGGGCATCTATTACGCCGTTGCCGTATTATTTTCTCTGTTGGAAATCAAGAAAACGGAAATTTTCGTGCATTTGCCAAAGTGGTGCTGTGCCGTTCCCACTTAAGTAGTTGTATACTACTAACCTGTAGAAGTACAAACGTCAATTTCCAGCTCTCTACAAGCTTTAGTTCTCGAGAAATATCGAATACAGTTTTCCCTAGTCATGTGGTCCAAGCTAAAATTCAAATTTATCGAATACAGTTTTCCCTAGTCATGTGGTCCAAGCTAAAATTCAAATTTCTCGAGAACTAAAGCTTGTAGAGAGCCGGAAATTGATGTTTGTACTTCTACAGGTTAGTAGTATACAACTACTTAAGTGGGAACGGCACAGCACCACTTTGGCAAATGCACGAAAATTTCCGTTTTCTTGATTTCCAACAGAGAAAATAATACGGCAACGGCGTATATAGATGCCCGATGTGGATTGTGTTTACGTGAGCAAATTAGAATTTCTGTAGGATTTTTAAAATCTGAGTTACGATTTTTATCAATTTTTCGGGCACTTGAATCTTTTTAGTTTTTGGCTCGAAACTCGTGGTGGATCAGAGCTGTTGCTAAAGCAAGATTGCCATCTAATAGAGCTTGCTTTGCTCTATCGTATCTTGCAACTTATTCAGAAATGGGAAGCGTATGACTTATTGCGGTTGAAAATCAAAACCTGCATTAATTTCCGGACAACCTAATGCAATACATTATTGTAAAATAATCAGTTATATGGCAGAAGTGAATTGCTCTGCATTCCTGAGTTTTTCTCACTTGTTGTTTTACTCCACTTCTTGTTTATAATTCAACGTCTAGGCTACCTACACTTTGAATGTCGGTATAAGACTGAAAGTGATGTTTTCCTCCGTCAGTCGATGTCCTTTCCATCCGCTTTTCAAGACCATGATACAGATCAAATCTTTGTATAACCTTCCTAGTTACCCAGTCTACGCAAAATTGCATCAAGAGGTTTTTAGCAATCCATACTTGCGTCATCTCCCAATCTGTGAATAGACTTCACTTCCTTTGACGTAATTCTAGTTGTAGTCTATTGGTATTCTTGGTGATATGACATCTGTTAGTGCAGGTTACTGCAAAAGCATGTGAAGTTTCTCACTTTCCCAGTGTACACAGAAGAAAAGATTATAAAAGTAAAACCTAAATCCAATAGTTACCCCAAAAGTAGGCGTAAAATTAAATGCGTTGTGTACATTGCACTATACACCATATTTCACGCCTAAAACTCGAAAAAAATCAAAAATCTTATTTTTCGTTTTTGTTTGTCCTGCTGCAATTACGTACTGTTCGGGAGTACTTTCAGCTTTCTATTTTTCTGTTCCTGCACCCGTGCATTAAGGTATGTTTCCTTTAGTATTCGTGTCTGTAATGTGTTGCTCTCTTTTGGTTATTAAGTCTGCTTTGCTCCCTATCACTGTGTGATTCCACATTTTGAGGAAAATGTAATCAACACAGTGCGGCGGACAAGCTTACTTGTTTTATCACATGTTGTATCATTTGATCCATGTAAAACACATGTGTTAGATGATTTACTCCTTGATTACGTAGTGTACGCGAATGTACATATATCACCAACATATATGTATACAACTACATATACTCCAGTTATACGATATTCACATATATATACCTGTTTATATTCGAATATATCTTATATGCACATATAATTTTTGTCTTTTCTCTCTTCTGCTTCACCTCTTTCATGTGCCTTCTAGGTTGGTACCGTCCTTGGGACATGTGCTTCCTACACACTCTGTGTGCATCCAGTCTTCGCACTCTGGGCATTGTATCCAATTTATTGTTGTGCTTTGCGAGTTCGAGGGTTGCATACGAAGGCAGATAGCATACGAATCCCTCTCATCTGGTGCACAGTCAGGAATATCGACAATTTTCAAGCGTTTTGCCTCGCACCTCCACAAGTGGGATCGCTGAAAAGATTTGTTAGGTATTCATGAAATCATGATATTTCTTTATACTTTATGAAGCTTTCGGATGGGTGTGAATCCTTGCGGATGTTCCACGCTCGAAACTTCAGCACGGCGAGCTAGCCTGATATCATTTTCTTCGCCAAATAACTGAGATTCAACCGCTGCCAGAATTCTCAAGCCTTCCTTCATTCGCCTTCTCACAACTTCTATGGCTTGCAAAGCTTCATCGCTGCAGCGACTAGACATGGCCAAGATTTTAGTGCGGCTTGCAGCGTAAGTCTGTGTGGTAATCTGTATTTATCATGTTCTAATTCCACTTTTGGAAATTCTACCATTTCTATTTCTTGCAGGGCATCTTTGGCCTTGTCGCGATTGTCAGTGGAGCGACGTCTTAGTAGAACAGTGTCCTCCTCATCGTCTTCCACGTATAAAGGCTCAACTTCTTGAAGGTCTACCAGTTCCTCCTCGTCGCTGCTATCGATAACTATACGTCGTGGTGGGGGCGATCATACATACGTTGTTCTTCTAGCGCTCTCGTATCTTTCAATTACAGTTGAGGTTAGATATAGGCAAATAGGTTACTTTTACCTAGTGGCGCATATGTGAAGGCAGCATGTACATGTAGGCAGTTGATCCCGCTTCTAACATCCAGTGCGCAGTTGCAAGTGAATGCATACGGGCATGCTTTGCAATTTCCTCTCTTGCAATGGTTGTTGCGCTAAAATATCTGCCTTCAGCCAGGCAGCAGTATCCACTACTAATTCTTACTTCACTGTCGCAAGGGCAGAACTGCTCGCGGATGTTATAAACGCGTCCGTTATCCTCCACTTCCCAGTGACCATTTCCAGCTATTACTATGAGGTCCTGCTTGCCATGGTACTTTGTTACCGCAGCGCTATAAGATTTGTGGTGCTGCTGCAATCTGTAGCGGCCTTCCTCAACTCCTCTCTCCATCTATTGATAGAATTTTCAATTTAGAAACAGCAGAAAATAGCTTTTCAGGAACCACCGCAATTTCTCGCTCCTCCTCTGCCTCCGTGGTTAGTTTGATGAGCAGCTCCAGCAGGGTGTCTATTCTTACGTCGGCCTTTCCTTCCAGGATTCCATGCTTCAAGATTTTGTGGGACCCTAGCCTACCGAAAGCTGCCCACTGGTCTATCCTGTCACTCCTAAAATCAAAAATAATCTGTTTTTCCTTTGACATCAATTTTTCGAACAGATCAAGAATTCTCCATGTAATTTGCTAATGCTGTCTCGCTCTGGTCCCTCAGATACTTCAGCAACGAAGTGTACTTCGTGACGAAGACCTTCTTATCGCGGATCAAGCATATTTCCCTCACTTTCCTCATAAATGGCTCGAGAAGTTCTGACTAAATTTCATTTTCTAGTCGATTTCATGTTTTGTTTACAACATAAATGTTTTCTATAATTTTTATTGTTGAAGTAAAACGCTGCCACTAACTTTTATCAGCTTTGAGGTTGTGTTTCTTTTCATTGCCTGCTGCACATGCCAGAGGCAGAGCAGCTTCTTCGTTCATGTGGTAGGAAAAGCTTTGGCAAAGCCATTCCAAAAAGTATTCGTATCATCAATCATAATGTAATCGGTGTGGAAAAAGGGGAGGTGTTTTTTTACTTGCTCGAACAGTACACCAACTTCTATCTCAGTCATCCTAAACCTTTTAATATGTAGGTATCGTTGAAAAGTGTAGTGGACCTGTATGAGAGCAGATAGGCCGCTGGCAACTCTTTGTCCCATTCGCCTGCGACTACTACAGTCGCTAGTCTTAGGGAATACGACGTCAGGTTAAAGGTGCCGTCAATGCAAAGGGCCCGCCGGCCGTATCTCGCTAGCCACGTTCTTTCGTCGGTGTGATAATGACTGGAAATAATGCTATTGGCAGTGCCAGACGTATATCGCTTGCAGAACCAATTAGGAAACCATCTCCGCTCGCGTTCTGCGCAGGTCTGTAAATCTGGAATCCATCGGAATGAGCGTTAGTATCCACCCTCATTTGAACAGATACTGTGTCAAGATTATGTAGCCTCCCGGGTTGAACACGGCACTTTTTCGCAATGTTTCTAAAATTGGAATGCCCTTCAGTATCTAATTTGCTCACGGTCTATGCACCTTACATCCCGCGATGTTGTGAAACAGCCTGTTTTTGGGACCGTCTCTCATCTTTGTCCCGAGCTTCTCCTTCACCTGCTTGACGGTGGCACCCTCTTTCAAGAGTGAAGCTATATATTGCTGAGACTTTTCGTCTAATCTCAACTTTGCTGGGTTGACGTCGTGCCCGCAATGTGTAAAACGTTTGACGGTGATGTTCACTCCATCTTCGACCACCTGCAAGATTTGCGAACAGGACCCTAAAATAATAGCGACAGTCGTAAGTGGGCGTACTTTTATGTACGCTGTACAGTAGGCGACAGTTTTCCTAGTTATCATCGGTACAATGCTTAAAGAGCGAAGTGCGCGACTGCAGCGGAGATAGGTGGTTTTGACGTTGTTGTGGCCATGTTTGATAGTGGACACGAAGCGATTGATCACGCTCGCCTCTTCCGATATTTGTCTCCACTCCTACAAGTTAGAAAATGTGTCATTGGCTCCCAGATTCGTATAGAGGCGGAGTCGTGGCAGCTTTTTGATGACGAGAAAGTATGAAAAGCAATGCTTTAGGGTGGATGTGACAAGTTTATCTTTATTGTCAGGGAAAGTCCGCAACCAGCCTCTGTACGAATCTGGGAGCCGATTATACTCAAGCGTAAAATAAAATGAAGTGAATATCATATTCTTACGCATTAACTCGCTCAAACCTTATATTCTTGAATACTTCCAAATGTCACTTTTTCTACAGCGTAGTCATCTTCTTCTGTCGCATGGCTCAGGCGCGCATGTCTTGCGAGTTCATGGTGGTTCTGTTCAGTAGATAGTAGTGTTTCAACGTACATGGCAATACCAAGTGCAATGACTTGTCATAAGAAAGAGACATTAGTAAAAATTTGCTTACTGGCATCTCTGCGTCACAAAGCGGACATGATATATTCCGCACAATGTGTTCTTCAGGATGTTTCGTACGTTGATGGGCGTTGTATGCAATGATATGTGTGAAAAGCGATCCACAAATTTCGCAGGTGATTACGTGTCCCTTGTCTATACCGCATACGGGACACACATTCGCAATAACAAAAAAATTGAAGCAAGAATAATCAGATGATCAATTGAATAGAACTTGGTATGAGAGAGACTAATAATAAGCTGACCTGTTCTTCGAGTCCATATGTGCTGCTGGTTAGTAGTAGTAGGTAATTTGTGATAGCCAGTAAATGGTTCTCCTATACAAAGTCAAATAGCAGGCTAGAAACTTTTGTTAATGAAGGATGTACTTGTTTAGTTTCCCTTATAAGCCCAGACATGAAGTGCCGTGGCCTTCCATTTCTCCAAGGCATGGTCACTAATTGCACTTGCACTCTGAATGACGAGGTTGCCTGCGTCAAAGGTGCGAACCATTGCCTAGGTTTCAGTCGTGTGACAGCGATGACTGCCTAATTGCATGCATACAATTCACAGATTAATAGTAAAGAAGAGTGAGCTTCTGCTCCACACATAAGGTGGTTCACATTTCTTTAAGAATGTGACAACACATAATGGCAGAGTACAGAGCAAATTCAAAAAAGAAGTACAGCTGAGGTGGACATACATTCACAGTTGACTGAGAAAAGGTCAAAAAGAAGAAAAGACAAGCGAACAGAGAGAAAGCAAGGGAACTTGAATACAGCAGCGAGTAGTAGGCTCACCGGGGCGTACGGGTTCGTGTAGCAGCAAATTAGATGCGAAATCATGAATCACGGTAAGAAACAGACAAAAATAAGATTTTCTGATTTCTTGAGTTTTAGGCGTGAAATGTGGTGTATGCAGTGTACACAACCATTTAATTTTACGCCTACTTTTGGTTACGGTAACTATTGGACTTATTTACTTTTATGATCTTGTACGCAGAAGGAGGGGATGGTGAATAAAAGAAGAAGAAAAAATTAACTATTTTCCGTTTCGTTCCTATCACTATACGGAAATTAGGTACACTCAATGTCAATTACTACTCTCTTTCGCATTTGAGCCGCGCATGCGCAACGCAAGGGCCCTGCGCGCGGACCTCCGATCGATAAGGCCAATTTGAACGCCGGATCTATACGCGCGCGAACATGTCGCGAAGCTCATTGCGCTTGCGGAAAAGGGAGCACGTGATTAACACCGACTGTAGGAATACGATTTTTCAGGAAGTCACCAGTAGTGAAGGAAGCGTGAGAGTAGAAAACAAAGGAAAACGTAAAAAAAACTAACCTAAAACGGTATGTACATTCAATATCCACCAATAGCTTGGGTTGTTATGATGTTCTATGATGAAATAGGATGAAGTGCGTGTCGAAAAAAGAATAAAGAGAGTATTAAGGTAAGTAAAAAGTAGAACGGCAAATATTATGACTACAATCAAACGACAGTTTCAAAAAATAATAGACTAGCGCTCAATGACAATTGAGCTAATGTGCAATGGAGCGTATAATCGTGTGTGTTTGACTATATCTGTTGAAGAAAGTTTAGAACGTTTCAATAGGATACTGATAATCCGAAGTAACGTTTTGTCTACAACAATTACCGGGGTTTGACTTTCGAGATAAAAAGTTGGCTGTGCTATCGCAGAAAATTAGACGTACAACTTCCGGAAATCGAAGACTTCCTGTAAAGGCTTTTGGCTTTTACCTCTTTAGAATACTCCTCTTAAGAGTGTTTATAGAACTCAGCATGTTATCGAATTGGTACAGTAGTCAAAACAGGCGTGGAGATTGCGTAGCTGGTGTAATTGCACGAATTTCGTTAGGCTCGGGAACAGTTCCTGCATAGTGCTCGAACTGAGTGTGTCAGTGTATCCTCTACGGACTGTGTCTCTTGACAGCTGTGTAAATCAAATGATCCCACTTGCTTATCCTGAAACTGAGATTTCAAAGAACTATTTGATTGGAGTTTAGTAATAATAATAAACCAATCTTGACCAAAATTGGTCTATATATTTTTCAAGGCTATTCTTTTGCATAGCTTCAACTGTTCTTAAAACACTCGGTAAAACATTTTAAACGAATTTCGTGCAGTTATAGTCGTCCTCACCCCACTAGTCGGTGGGTGTAGGGCGTTAGGCGACAAACCCAAATTTTGGACCCCAAATAACTCCCCGTGCAAAACGTCTCCTCCGCCAAAAACAGGGGGTGGGGGTCGGGGCCGATACATTACCCGACGCCAATGAAAAAATGGTGCATAGTTTTGAGTTACAGGATTTACGTTGCTTGCGTTTTGCACGTTTTGTCGCCTAAGGTAGGTGCCAGAGTAAGCGAATATTTTGTTCAGGTTGGAATCCCGCGCAGAATTGACGTCACTTGGATTGGCGCCAGCATGGTGAGTGGCGTCCAATCTGCGCGGGACCCCAACTTGAACAAAATACTCGCTTGCTCTGGCACAGGGTCAAGCGTGTGATGCGACTGTCGCAACGGGGGGTCGTAAGCGGGTACCTACGGTGAAGGGGGGGGGTCGTAAAAGGAGGTAGTTTGGATTAAAAAACCGTAAGCATGGAAAGAAATTGGATGGCAAATAATTATATGACTTGTTTCATTTTTCTATGGGAATCACTATTTCTCCCGCAAAATATTGTCCGAACGGGGATCAAACCCTGCTGGCATGACTAAAATTGAAAAATAAACACTTTTAGAAGTTCGAATGCTACCAAAGACATGTATGTGAGATAAAGATTTTGGATTTACCGACTGGTGTAGACATCCTGCTTCCGAAGGCTCACTGAAGACTCGCACGCTCGACAAAAGCGCATATCTCTATCAACGCTAATTATCAATAATTTGTAAATCTGTTTGTAATGCTTTTCATACGGTCCTTACAATTTATGTGTACTTAAGAGGTGCTTTACTATACTTGTGCAAAATTTGATCCCACTTTATGGCCTTCGGATTTTCTTATGATTTTATGTATGGTGGCAAAAAATGACAAAAGGGGGGTCGTATCTGTAGCATCTAAATTTTTCCGGAGCTATTGAAGCTTGCTGGCTGCAATTTTGCTGTAATACGAGGCCATCCTCCTACTTTCTATCCTAAAAATTTCAGGCCGTTTCATAACTTCTCCGATGAGTTACAAAATTATAAGCTCAAAAATCCCAGTTTTTGCTTTTTAGGATCGCATCTAAATTTGCGAGAGTCGCATCTAGATTTTTTCGAGCTTACTGCACCTCAAGAGCTGGAACTTTTTCTGTGAATAATCTGGGCACTATACTACAGAACCTGTGCTTTGCAGCCTCTCAGTCTTTTCCTGGCCTTAGTTACGAATTTTCAAACTACCGTGCTCATGCACGTCTCTGACGTCGTTGTGGACGGCGCTCAAGCGGTTTTTTTCGCGGGAGAAAATGTGGAAGAGGTAGGAAGTAAGCTTGTTAGTCGAAAACATCTTTTATAGTTCAAAAAAGTCATTTTCTTCTCCGTGCAAAAATCTGTGTCGCCTACGGGAACCGAATTTGCTCGCCTGAAGTATGCCTGAAAATTCAAAAAAAAACTTGCAGATTCTCAAACACTATTGAAGGTATCTATGTGGGCTACACATGCTGGGTGCACATACTGGCAGAGAATTTCTGCTTCCGAAATCTCACTGAAGTTCCACGCAGATGTTTTTTGAGATTGACATTGTTTATGCAGGTTACCGCGAGGAATGTGGGCATTGGAGGTAAGGGGGTAATTGGGGGGGGGTAGGGTAGATGGGGCGGGGGTCGTACGGATGGGTACCTTCAAGGGGGGGGTCGTAAATGGGGGTCCCGGATCGCATCAACACGCTTGACCCTGCTCTGGCACGGAGGGCAAGCGTTAGGCGACAAAACGTGCAAAACGCAATCAACGTAAAGCCCGTAAGTCAAAACTATGTGCAATTTTTTTATGGCGTCGAGTAATGTATCGGCCCCGGCCCCCACCCCCCTGTTTTTGGCGGAAGAGGCGTTTTGCACGGGGAGTTATCCGGGGTCCAAAAAAATCGGGTTTGTCGCCTAACGCCCTACACCCCTCTGCCACCACTGAATTATAGAGTGCACAAGGCACTTCCTACCTACCGTAAATTAGCCGTGGACGATAATGTCGACTGCAGAAACATGCGAAATTACCTCCAATCATTGCATTTGACGTGGGGAAATGTATTGCTTCATGATTTTGTGGTTTCTCTCTACTTTTTTTGATTCGTGCGCATCATTGCGTTCAATTGCTGTTTATTCTGAATAGAGTGGAAGTGTCGCAAAGCACGATTCTTTGGGATGTGACCGTATTCTACGTCTTCCCCGACGCGAGTCTCGCGAATGAGGATCATCAGGGTAGCAAGTCCATTGATCGCGACATTTTTCAGGCTATCGAGCTCAGAGAAAGAAACAGTGTGTTATACTCGGGAATGGTAGTATATAAATCAGCCAGGAACAAAGACCGACAGATGCTTTCTTGTTGAGTAGATGAACAATTTGAGGTTATCAGCTATGGTCTAATTTTATGTGAGTCATATAACAAGAAAAAAACTGCTATAAGTCTCCGATATCTACAACGAATACTCCCTGCTTTCCTTCACCCAGCGGATGTAGATGGAAAACTGTGGAAATGAAAGAGCGTGGAAGACAACAGAGCATTTTGCATCAATGTATGATAAGTATGAACGAATGACCCTAAGACGTCACCTATTTGATCTCAGCTATAGAACTTTAATGGAGATACGTCAGATGTCTCTGCCAACAACTTCTTGAATCCTAGATTAAAGCGTTAACGATATTCGATGCAGTTTGCAGATAATCCTCTATCAAATTTGATTCTGTACTTCTGCTTTGTGTAGGCGCAGCTGCGCAGACTATTGTTCTGGTAATCCTTCCCACTTTTCATTCTGCATATCCTTGATATTATAAGAAGATGAGATAGTCTGAGCATTGTAAAAAGATAGAATCGATTCTTACGAAATCTGCGTTTTGATGTTTCCGCAGTGGCATCTGTCATACCACATAGGGAAATCATTATCGGTACTGTTAGCATCCTAAGCGCTCTAATACGCCGTAATACGTGTCATCGAGAAATGTTTAAGTGTATCGGCGTTCTCTGAAGTTACCAATAATAACAGAATAGGCTAGGCCTACAGCGTCTTTGTCGTATCACTTAAAATGCTCTGGAGACGGGACTGTGTTACTTCCTTGAATCGAAATCCGTTGCCTTCAAACCTCAAACGCTGCCTTTATGGGATCGGTCAGAGTTTGCCAGTGTTGCCGGTGTTGAAAGTGTTGAAAGTGTTGCCGATGTTGAAAGTGTTACCGGTGTTGAAAGTGTTGAAAGTGTTGCCAGTGTTGAAAGTGTTGAAAGTGTTGCCGCTGTTGAAAATGTTGAATGGAGATCATCAGTCTAGCAATTTCATTCTTTCTTGAACGATCTCACCGACTGGTGAATACGTTGGAAATGGAATTGAGGAATGAGAAATGAAACTGAAATGAGATGGGGAATGTTTTCGCATTTAAAAGATCCCTAAACAAACTTTTTGGAAAGTGGACGGCTTGTCTGGAATGGGCAATCTCCAATATTTGGAAACGCTGCAGACCTCACTTACATAGGTCCTTCACTCACTAATCGCAAGCGCGGCAGGATTCGAACTAAAACACATTACTACTAAGACTTCAGCGTTTTCAAATATTGAAGATTACCTATTCCAGACAAGCCGTCCACTTTCCAAAAAGTTTGTTTGAGGATCCTTTGCATGCGAAAATCTTCCCCATCTCATTTCAATTTCATTTCTCATTCCCCAATTCCATTTCCAGCGTATTCACCAGCCGGTGAGATCGTTCGAGAAAGAATGAAACTGCTAGACTGATGATCTCCATTCAACGCTTTCAACACCGGCAACACTTTCAACACCGGCAACACTAGCAAACTCTGACCGATCCCTATGTATCCATATCGCATCATCACATCATCATACTGATACGTTTCGTCAAGATTGGTCGTCATTTGTCATTTTGGTCAAAGTCAGTTAGGTATCCGGTCTAAAGAATACTAAGTATGCGATACACGTGCAAGATTCAATAAAGAACAATGTGACAAGATCGCGTTTACAACAACTTTCTCAATAAAGAACAATGTGACAAGATCGCGTTTACAACAACTTTCTCAAAATTTGATGCCCTGTCCCCGACAGCGCGATCTTCATTGTGGCATTCGCGAGATCCGCATCGGGGAAGACGTAGAATACGGTCACATCCCAAAGAATCGTGCTTTGCGACACTTCCACTCTATTCAGAATAAACAGCAATTGAACGCAATGATGCGCACAAATCAAAAAAAGTAGAGAGAAACCACAAAACCATGAAGCAATACATTTCCCCACGTCAAATGCAGTGGTTGAACGTAATTTCGCATGTTTCTGCAGTCGACATTATCGTCCACGGCTAATTTTGTACGGTAGGTAGGAAGTGCCTTGTGCACTCTATAATTCAGTTCTGCCACCTACCTAACGCGGGGAACGGTCAGGAGTCACGGTCGGCGCGAATTTTTCGCGAAGCGATGCCGCAAGCGATGTCAGCAAAACAGAAGCTAGCAATCCTGGCGCAGTCTTAGTTATGACACGAGCCATGTATCTGCCCCCACCCCCACCCCCCTAGACTGGCGCCGTGCCACTTTAGCTCCGGGCAGTTTTATGGGGTACAAAATTTGGACGCGACGTGCGCGGCGAAGCGGCGCGGCGCGCGGCGTGACTCCTGACATGGAGCCCCTAACGCTTGCCCTCCCTAGTTGGTCGGTGGTCGAATTTGAATTCGAACTGGAGCAGGCCGACCGCGGCAGAGCGCGGAAGACCGCCCCTCAGCCAACCGCTTGCACATGAACTTTGTTCTTATTTCCTTCGTGTTTTTTGCTACAGTCGCTTCATTTCATATGATCATGTGTGTCATTGCACACACAGTTCACCTTTGGCGTCGCCATCCTGGATTCGTGGGAGAAACAAGCCTTCAGGTAAGTGTTTCCAAGGTGCTCTTAGCATTTTCTTTCCTTTTTAGTTACTAGTCACCTCAAACTGATGTAATCGATAACAGTCGGTAAGTCTCTTGCGTTTTTGCGATGGCAAATCCAGGATGAGGACGCCAAAGTGAACTGTGAGTGCAATGGCACACATGATCATATGAAATGAAGCGACTGTATCTCTCGTATTGCGGCAATGTTCTTAATCAGATTTTCAGAATTTGTCCGCTAGCTCTTTGAAACAAACACTTTCTGATCCAAATCTCCAATCACATCCTTCTTCCCGGTTTACCTGGAAAAATGTAAAATAAACGAGCACAACTGCACAAAACAGTAGTAGTTAGCGGTACAAAATCTACAGCAGCTACGCCATCCCTGTACGCTTTGTTTTGGTTGCTGTACTAGTCGTTGACCTGTTAGGTTCTGTAATACCTTTAGAGTTCCACACTGGTGAAATTTTTCGGTTCACGCACTGTGTATTACAAATATCATCACATCCATGTGTATCAGGCTCTGTCGCTTTGATCTGATTCTTTGCAAATGCTACACTTCTCTGAGGCAGGAGTAAGGCCTGCTTTCAAATGCTTTTATCCGTGTTCGTCAGGTTTTTCCCCAAACACTAGGCATCTTTTCAAATGCAGCCATGGACGAGCTAGACCAGCAAATCATCCAGGTCTTCAAAGAGGTGGAATGGTAAGTTTTGATCAGCTTACTTTCATGATGAATGGTTCTTTGAGCCTCCATGTTCAAATAAAAATGGTTTTTCTGGCTGAATCACAAATTTACTTTCTCAACAATACTGCAGCATTTGACCTATAACCCTTGCATTTAGTTCATTCTGGCACACTGATCTCAACTCCTTGGAAGATCTATCTGCCGATGACAACATTGAGTTTCTGATAAGGTGGGATTTCTTTGCACTGTAGTCATTTTTGAAGCATTAAATCTGTTATTCTTTTCGGATGCCTGTGGCTGATTTCACCAGTTTCAAAAACGACCATCCCTTCATACAAACTTCCCCAGAATATCCTGCAACGGTTTCACACCGTCACTTATCTTGCCGACGCATTCAAGGTAGCTGTTGCTTCGACATGATTCATTTCTATGCCAATAGATTGCAGGAAAATAATGTTAGGGGAGATTTCGGCTATCAGACCCTACTATATGGGAGCACAGCAGAACTTCGGCAAATCTTTATTGCAGTAATTGAAAAGCTTCCGAAGAATGCTACGCCACATGCAGGAGAGAATTGTAAGCATCAAGGATTTTGGTTGTTATTAACCATTTTTTTCCTGTTACTTTCAATTCTTTTCTTTCATAAATTGTTTTTGCAGTCGCGCAGCTCCTGACTGATTCGGCATGGATTCCCGAGTTTTGTCGTCGCCTTAGGATGAGGCGACAAGGTCGCCTGTGGTTCCCTCCTGAGGTAATGCTTTTCGTGAACTCTAATTTCGTCCCATTATGCTTGAAAAAGCTTCTTTGGTTTTCATCAGTATTTAAGTTTAAACATGTTTCATTTAATTTGATGATTCCATGTGTTTTGTTTAGAACGAGCCCGACATCTTTGCGCTGTTTTCGCGCAGGGCGCTTTATGATGCTCTGGTTGCGGATCAGTCCAAGTCGGCTGTTGCGAACCTGGTTTCAGCGAGTCGTTCAAAACCTCCAGTTCCTGTGAAACCAAGGTAAATTGAATAGTTGTCATTTCACAATCCTGAATAGCTAATTTTTAGCGGCCTGGGGAAGCCGGATGTCAGTGAGAAACCTGTTGTTGAGGAAAAGGATCCCTTGGAATTACGTTTGACAGAGGTTCTACAAGGCATCGCTGATAAGCAGGAGGCGCTCATGAAAGTGAGTGAGCGTAAGCATCTTTTGGCGCTTTTCTTCTTTCTTATTTCTATACGATATCGCTTCATTGCGCTTATTCTTTTTGAGGGCTTTTTCAGATCGAAGGTGAAATTGCGGAAGTACTACAGGCAAACTCATTAATCAAGGAAAGCCTCGATCCCAATATTGACAGGCTTATGTTGTTTCTGGAGGATCCTGAAACTATGAAGGCAAAGATTTTGGTAAGTTGTGATAGTGTAGTTGGTTCTTCTTGAGTTTCTGCTTGCATCAGATTTCAGAGTTTTATCAAGGAAAGCGATGGCCGCCTAGAAAAGATGGAAATGGAATTCAAAGACTCCCGGGAGAAACTACTCTGTGATCTGGAGCTGTTGAAAAATCAACATTCACAACAGGTATGTTTAAAACTTATTGAAAATATTACTGAAGGTCGCTATTGCAGAGTCTTTCTTGTAATGAGCAAATACAACGAAATCGCGAAAAGCTGGATGAAATTCGCAGAGGAGTAGAACAAAACGAGGCTCTTGCTGGGAAGTTGGTGGGTTTCATAAACTTCGCTTTCATAATTCACACACTGTTATCGCTTACAAATAACAATTCAGGAAGCTCGATTGGAGCAGATGCAAAAGACTGACGTAGATCGAGCGTCTATGATACGTCGTATCATGGAAATGACGGCAAGTATCCAGAAGCAAGATCAAGAAATACAGAAGGTCGGGTCAAACAGTTTCATTCTGGCTAGTAAGATCCTATCAAAATTCTATTGCCGACTCTATATTTTTTCTATTGTGTGATTTTTGTGCTTTTCTAGGTTATACACGATAATTTGGGCGTGCAGAAAGAGCTGAAATGGTTGACTCAAACGCTACATCGCACGTTTGGCATGATCGAAGAGACTCTATACAAGGTAGGTATTATGTTCACTTGATTGATACTGCAGTATCAAAACGTTTTTGCTTCTTCTTTATGCTATAACTTGTTACTTTTTCATTTTTGTGTTCAGCCGTAGTTTGGCATAAAGAAATGCAGTTGCGATCCATTGTTTTTTTTTATTTAGTACGGTGACTTCTAATATTTTGGGTCATGTCGCAAAAAATGGGTTAGAGTGGAGTCGCTCTTCTGGGCGTACTTTTTTGGATGCCCTTGCTCGTGCTTCAGCTTTTTCTTTGTTGCTTAGGTGAAGCAAATATAAAGATTTTAGGGCATTTCCAACAGTTAAGTTTTACAACGTTTTGTCACTTATATTGTGAAGCTTATGTGTTTAGCTGCTATTCTGGACAAAAGAACTAGGAAGCTTCAAGATCCTTATATAGTAAATTTCAACTCAGTTCAAGTGAAGACTGCATTGGCGGGCTTCCGCCCCGCACCGGTTCGCGCCGTTTCACAACTACACTTTATATCGTGCTGGGAATTCATGTTTGCGTCTCTTTTTTCCAAAGTCTTTGCTTGCAAAATGCCAGCTGTGTGCACTCGCAAAGCCTCCAGTGATGCGGACGCGCGCTGCACTACAAGTGCTTCGCCTATGCCAGGTTGAAACATGTTGTTCTGCTACATTCTTCAGCTTTTTTGACTTCATGGTAGATGCACTTAATACATTCAATCTGGCATTACAGTTTCATCCTTGGCAGGTTATAAAGGCCGGAAGTCAATCTTTTTAGGGATTATCATATGCTTGTGTTATCACCAAGAACTAACATCTATTCACTGGTCGAGTTAGCGTTGATGGGAAGTGGCACACAGTACAAATGAGGCACAGAAAATAATAAAAGAATCAAATTCAGTACGCCAGAAAGGTTAGATCCTGCGAAATGCATGCATCAACTGGTCACGGGTATGCGAAAATCTCACCCTGCTTCTCGAATCAAGAGAGTTAGGCAAATAAGCCGTCTGTTCATCGTGATGCAATGCTCGTTCACATACCACTGGGGGTTTCTTGCGAAGTCCACAGCATTTGTCAACTGTCTCAAAAGAATTCCAATATCCAATACCTTGAGAAAATGAGCCAGACTGTCTTAGCCCAAAAGAGAAAATCTTACATTGGGGCTAGGAGTTTTGATTTGTAGAAGTTATAATGTGGTAGTTTTTGAAATCCTCAACATACTTAACCGAATTGCTGAACATGTTTTGCATTTTCTAGGATACGGATGATTCGAAGGGCGAACGTGCGTATAAGTTGTTTGGCAAATTACATACTACATGCATGATCTCTGTAGAGGCAATAGAACAGAATGGAGCTTTGTCACGTCAAAATGAGCAGTTGCTTGACCTGGTAAGTTATAAAATGCTACTTTTGTACATCGCATCTTGTTCTACAAAACACACATTGATGATCATCAACTTACAGATTGAAATTGAGAAGCAGAGGCAGTTTGACCAGCAATTAAATCGAATCCAAGCCGATTTGGATGCCATTGAGAAAGAAAATGCAAGGCTTGAAATGTCGTTGAAAACAAATCAGTCTTAACTGTGAGCACATTAAGGTTTTGTTCACGCTATATCCTTTGTCTGTGATTGCTAATCTCTGAACGCCATATTAGAACAATATGCATACTATCATCTTTCACTGATAAGTTGAAAACCATTTTTAATTATATCTACGGATCTGCCTTTTGCCTACAATTCCTTAGACAGGTATTATTCTCGTTTTTTATAGTTTTCCCATTCCATACCGCTTTGCGGGTTCTTCGACACCGTGCAAATATCATTTTTTTCGTATATCCCAGATAAATTGTATCTGATGTGCTCGTACTTTCCATCTGCCAGCTGGCTTTCGTGTTGAACTCATGTGAGGATATGCCTAGAGAATTCGTGGCAATTTTCGGACAATTTTTTTGGAGTTCGACTTTATTCGATTTCCTAGCTATCTCAAAGCGCCGTCCGCCGAAATTGAGGATCGAAATTCTTTGATATCAGCCCCTCCGCCCAAACCTTTCTGCAAAAGATGAATTTCGAAGCGAGAAAGCTGCTTCAGAAGGTAAAAGTTCCAGTTGACTCCGACCACCAACTTGGGTGGTCTGGAAATAAAAGGTTTGACATCGGGTTTCGGGTAAATAGCAATGTCGGAAAAATGTTAATCATGAAAGGGCCGATCTATGACGACTCTGGATACACCGAAGTTCGATCCGAGATATCTCCACACCACCTACGTTGATGGGCGGAGCCAACGTGGAGCTTCTACCTTCTCGATCGGTTTTCTCGCTTCGGGATTATTCTCCTGCAGCGAGACTTGAGAGATGGCTTAGATAGTGGCCCATCCATTATATGACGTCAAAATCTTATTTCCCGTAATTTGGGTGGACGGTGCCTTTAATCCTGCCACCTCAAACTTGATGCCGCATGGCGTGCGTGTGTCAAAGGCGCTGCGCAAGCGCGCTCGACGCGTCTACTGGACACGCATCCGAGCTCGAAGTGTCTATAGTTTGCTTTTTGATGTTTGATAAAATACCATGGTAGATATGCTCGAGCTCATTCAGACTGACGCGGTTACAAAAATTTGAATTTTTTATATCGCTGAAGCATTTCACAAGGAAACAAGATCTTTCTGATAGAGTTCTGAGATAAGTTGTACCCAAATGGCGCCATCCGCTCATTTAACTTATGGTCCTTTAGTTCCTGATAACAAAACTATTTATGCTGCTTTAGAAAGGTCCAACAAAAAGTCTTCACCAAAGATAGAGAAGAATGCTGCCGGGCTCAGAATCCGTGTACCAAAAATGGAGAGAATGTGCTGCTACGGGTGGTTGCCGTTTAGCTCGCTCTACCTCCATTGAAAAACAAGTCTAATTCGGGCAGCAGCTGTGTGTATTTCCGCCGCAGTCTTTGGGTATGACTTTTGGTATTTCATTTCCCTACTGTAAATCTGCATGCCCGGAGCCGGAACTGTGCTCGAAACTTGTACAATCCATAATAGTCACAATCAGCTCAATTGACTCAAGCATTCTTTAAAGGCAGCGTCCAGGCAGATCTGGACCTATGGGGCTTTTACGTGGAAAGTACTTTTGGGGCCCTAACTAAGGCACTGCCCAAGCGGCAGCTCAGGTAGTGCTGTAATGGCTGAGATATTCCCCTCGAAACTGGCCCCCGCGACCGTGTTTCGCATGGATTCATGGCAAAGCGTGGATCCTGGCGCGAAACTGCCATGAATCCATGCGAATACGTTCGCGGGGGCCAGTTTCGAGGGGAATATCTCAGCCATTAGAGCACTACCTGAGCTGCCGCTTGGACAGTGCCTTAGTTAGGGCCCCAAAAATACTTCCCACGTAAAAGCCCCATAGATTCAGGTCTACCTGGACGCTGCCTTCAAATCTATGTATCAGATTGGTATACATAAGTAATGCAACTTTTCATATAATTTTTCTCTTTTTGGACGTTGCGCATTCATTTTTTGGCCATACAAGGACTGTGATGTTATCTCCAAATGTAGACAGTTTTACAGGATTCTGTTATTGTATATAAGGGTTACGGTAGTTTTACATTGCAATGGGAATAATTTTGGTTTGCGTCAGATTTTGTTGAAACGTGGCCTATGGGGGGTTATTCGACATGCTGATCACAAAAATGTGACTCCTTTGCTTGAGAAGGCCTCTTTCGTAAGGTCAAGGAATAAATGTTCATCTTAGCGACAAATGATTGTGATATTCCTGATCGCATATAGGATTACCCTATTGCACAAAGTTTTAACGAATTCTGATTTTTCGCAGCTAAATTATTGAAAGATGGCCCCCAAACTTAACGCATTTGACTTGCTCAGCTTCTCAAAAGCGCCTTATCTTGATTTGTTTTCGAATTTAATTTTTAACTGATTCTGATATGTAAACTACTAGCTACATGCTACCTATAGTCCCTTTTTGATATACTTGATTCAGGTTTTGTGCGGCTTCATTTTTGCCAAAAAACTCGAAACGTCGATTGTTAGCGGTTATCGAGATGCTAATATTTCTCTACTATGTAAACAAAAATTAAACAAATTGCGCGGACTTGCAGCTTATATCACAGTCTATTGATGCCAGAGAATGAGAGTGCTACATAAAATAAGGAAAAAGTTATGGGAAAAGTAGCAAAATTTATGTGCCAACCTAATAAATCCGATGTTTTACAAGTCTTGTGGCATATTTTGGGAGTAATCCAGAAACAAACAAAGTGCAGTTTGGTTATTCAATGTTGAAAGGACGTCAACCTAGGCGTAGACAATCTGCCTTCAGAATTGCTGCACAAAATTGCCTACTTAGAATTTTAACATTCGCTTTTGAAGGTATTGACGCATGTTGGTTCAATATTCAAAAATATTGGGTTGGCCCGAAAGTTCTTTCGCACCAAATTTAAAAATTCATAACTTCTGATTTTTCCAACCAATTGGACTGCTTTTATTTTTGTATGAAAGAGCAAGTCAAGCACTTTATAATCACATCTTAGTTGCTTGCCAATGGTCATCTGTTGCATAAATAGGAGCGATAGAAGAAAATTGGTCAAAATTCGAATTTTTCTTATACGGTCATAAAAAATTGGAAACTTGCAACAAAAATCGGAGCAGTCAGTATTGTAGGTTCTTTCACCAGCTCTGTCTAACGGCGCAAAGTTTGCGCCGATTGAGCGTCTCTATGAAAACTTATGATTTTCCTGAAAAATGCCAAAATAAATCAAATTCGCCCTTTTCTATTGCTTGCTCGAAAATCATAACTTTTCATAGAGACGCTCAATCGGCGCAAACTTTGCGCTGATAGAAAGAGCTGGTGAAAGAACCTACAATACCAATTGCTCCGATTTTTCATGACCCTACAAAGAAAAATCAAATATTTTGACCAATTTTCTTCTATCGCTCCTATCTATGCAACAGATGATCAGTGGCAAGCAACTAAGATGTCATTATAAAGAGCTTGACTTCTCTTTCATACAAAAATAAAAGCAGTCCAATCGGTTGAAAAAATCAGAAGTTATGAATTTTCAAATTTGGTGCGAAAGAACTTTCGGGCCAACGTAATATATCACTTTGGTGCGTTACGAGATTTATAAAAGCCAAGTGAGATAAATTTCTAGAAACATATACTATTTGTTGCCATTTTGGCAGCAAAAAAGCTGTAAATTGGGTTATCCATTTTATCTAACCGAAATTTTAATCACTCTTTGCTAAAATCTAAGTATCTTTGTAAGTAAAAGATTGCGAATTCTTGAGCATGACCTGTGCTTCATCACATCAAAATTTCTGAAACTCATATATTTACTACAATGCATGAGTGCATGTATGAGTGCAAACACATGGAAAACGAAGCCAACTAATAATTTTGTTCTTACAGTAATAGTAGATTTTCACACAGACAGATTTTTTGAAAAAAAAATTCAATAAAACAGAAACTGTGGATCTGCCTAGACACTGATTCACAAAGAAGGAAATTCAAGAGATATAAAAAGCAGAAACGATTTGAGCCATCAATCAGCCATTGATCAAAGAATTCAATTTTTCGTTGGTTGTCGTTTTGAGTGGTTGTGTTCATGAGAATACAGGGAAACCCGAAGCGATCTGTTACAATATGCAAAATGTTACAAAATGTAGAATATATTAGCTGATCATTTGGTGGACTAAATCTTGCTAGACAATTTTTTGCATTCATCTTCTTCCACATACATCTTCTTTCGCAATTTTCCCGAGGATTCTTTGTCGTCTCTCGCTCCTATTGATCATTCTGTCGCTCATGTAAAATCCACATTCGTTAAGCAAAATGATGTCGTTTTGTACCAGTCGTCCTAAAAGCTCCTTTCAATTATATCGATGACAATTAGGAGCATACTTGATCTAATTGATCCGCTTGATCCACTTCATCCACATTGATATCGGGAGCGAAGTGGATGAAGTGGCTCAAGTGGATCAAGTGGACATCGGCTTCGCTATTGGTCAAGTACGTGAACTGACCAATAGCGTGGATCAAGTATGGCACGTGCCCCATACGAACACACCTCCTATCAGATAAAAATCTGTTCTTAGTGGACGGCTACAGGGTGTGTTTTCCACCAGAACTGAAGTAATGCCATTGACGTCAGGAACAGTTCCCTGGAGCATATCCCTTATAGTGAACTAGCTGGCTTACCCGGCTCCGCCGTATCCGGACCAAACTTGGCACACATACACTTCGGGCCCCGGCGGGTGTCACAGTCCACTTTTCGTTATCGATCGATGTCGATTTTACCGATTTTTATCGATTTTTTGCAGAGTTCACCTACAGGGCTAGGAGTTGGCACAGGGGGGGGGGGGGAAGTGAGCATGGGGACTCCGAATACAATATTAGTTTTCAGAATTATCGATTACTTTTATTGATTTTATCGATTTTTTGTAAAGTTTGACATGCGAGGCTGGGATTTTGCACAGGGGGGTAATCGAGCATGCTGATTACGAACACAATATTAGTTTTCAGGATCGTCCATTACTTTTATCGATTTTATCGATTTTTTTGTAAAGTTTGACCTGCGGGGCTGGGAGTTTGCACAGGGGGTAATCGAGCATGCAGATTACGAATACAATATTAGTTTTCAAGATCGTCCATTACTTTTATCGATTTTATCGATTTTTTGAAAGTTTGAGCTAGGGGGCTGGGAGTTGACACAGGGGGGTAATCGAGCATGCTGATCATCCCCAAGGGGGGTGATCAGCATGCTCGATTACCGCCTGTGCCAAATTCCAGCTCCCTAGCTCAAATTTTCAAAAAATCGATAAAATCGATAAAAGTAATCGATAATCCCGAAAACCAATATTGTATTCGGAATCCCCATGCTCAATTACCCCCCTGTGCGAACTCCCAGCCCCGTAGCTCAAACTTTGCAAAAAATCGATATAATCGATAAAAGTAATCGATAATCCTGAAAACCAATATTGTATTCGGAATCCCCATGCTCGATTACCCCCCTGTGCCAACTCCCAGCCCCGTAGCTCAAACTTTGCAAAAAAATCGATAAAATCGATAAAATCGATATCGATCGATGACGAAAAGTAGCCTATGACACCCGCCGGGCCCCGAAGTGTATGTGTGCCAAGTTTGGTCCGGATCGGTTCAGAAATGGAATTTTCTATTCGGAACATACGTACAGACATACAGACATACATACATATATACATACATACATACAAACAGACATTCAGCTTTATATATAAGATAGGTAAACCCAAGGATAAAAAACACACCGTATCGTCTTTCAAAACATACGATTCATTCACTTTGTACTCATGAAGTATAGAGTTGTTGTCGTATTTTGAACTCAATACTTTTGCGAAGATTACTGCAATAAATTTAAATTAAAAAACTGTTTATAGATTATGATCTCATGAAACAACTTACAAACTTCAGAACCGCAAAATTGATCCATCAAAGTCAAGTTACAACACTTTTTCTTTGGCGGAACAACAGAGGCAGCAACTGATATGATGAATATCACAGTTCTCATAACTGAAATTCACTTTGACACAATTTTGTCGAAAAAGAAGAAACAAACGAGTCAGATTGGCTTCTAAAGTCAGAATAGGTGCAGATAAATTTTAAACTCATGTGACGTTGCACATTTCAGGACATTTGCTCACCTTGGTATCCAATTTGATGCAGTGAATTGAATAGGAGTACATTTTGATCTGCTACAAATGCTGACCAAATGACTGCATTGTACGATGCACTTGCTGAAGTCAAGTGGAACTGCAGTGTTTTGCGTTTTCATTATGAATGTCAATGTGCGATTTTCGCACAAAATTTGTGCTTCAATACCATTCAGCCTGCTCAACAATGTTTCGCACTCGACGAATGCAAACGAATTGAACGCACCGTCTACCTAAATTGATGGCTATGAGATTTTGATATGGTGCACTAGCAGGAACTTCAAGTAAGTAAACTCCCAAGTCCCGCTACAAAGGATGAATTCCAAAGCAAAAAAATCGCCCTGGAAGTAAAATCGGAGGTGGTCGCTCCGCCCATTAATGGGTAGTCCGAAAGTACAAGTTCAAAATTCGGCTTGAATGTGCACAGAACTGTCGAGAGTTTTGTAATGACAATGAAGGGCGGATTCTCGACAATCTTTGACACACATTCAAGCCCAATGGACTTATATCTCCAGACCACCTGCGTTGATGGGCGGAGCGACCGCAGCTGCTTCTACCCTTTTGGAGCGATTTTCACGTGTCGGAATTCGCCTTTGCAGCGCAACTTGGGCATTTACTTAGTGGGAAACTCCGCTTTCGTAACCTAGCTAAATCTCACCATCCTCGGATATTAAAGAATTTAAGTGTAGTGCACTAGCAAATATAGAGCTTTGATACGCAATGTCAGAGTCTAAAACTATGTCATAAACTAAGTGTAGACGAGAGTTTCAAAACTAAGTGTAGATCAGAACTTTGTAACATTTTCTTTGCATCGAAAAACAAGACGTTTCCATTGTTAGGTAATGGCCACATTCGGCAGTGCGGCGCGCGTTACGCGTCGTTTGTCGAATACCGAACGGGGCACACAAGCTACTTTGGACTGATCTTAGGAGAAAATCTGGCTCTTGTGAGTTGTACGGATATGGGGGACTTGATACGTATTTCTCAGTCATTTTTTAGCGGAACTGACATAACATGGGTAATGACGCCGAAAACTTTGATAAATTGTCAATGAGGTGTGGCATCTGGAGAAAATTGATTAGTTGCTTTCGAAAGTATCTCAACGGCAGCCTCCACGGAAGATCTAAGCCCTTCCGATTAGTACTCAGCCTATATTTAGTTTCCAGGAGAGGAGCATCTGCTTTGGTCCGGTCCTCTCATGTGGCCTTCAAATGGAAAAAAAAATGGACCTAGAACCCGCAAAAGTGCTATCAGACCACGCCCGCCCTATCAAGCTCCGCCCACATACTGAAGGTCATCTGTGCTTTCAGGAAAGGGCTTCCAGAAATAGTTTTTTTTAGGCGTTTTGCAAATTTTCGACTTCATAATTATAATCAGGGCCACGGGAAGCCTCCAGAATGACAGAGACGTGGAGATGATTTTTTGGGTAAACGCTGCCTTTGAGAGTTCGTCTGATTGAAGCTGCTCATCTTTTGCAACTCCCACAGAGAAAACCAGGGAGGCGCTAAAGTCTGAGCGGTCAAAACAGCTGATGGGAACTGTTTTGCTTTTTAGGTGCTATCCAAGGTATCGAAGGGATTCATCAGTCGATTTATTTATTCGGAATCGCCACGCCACCATGCATCAGCTTTGCAGATTTTTAAAGAGCTATCAGATTGAAAAAAATTGCAGTGTATACCAAACCAATAGCATAATCCATGTACCACGCAAACTTTGAGTGAAAATTCATTTTGAAAAACAAGAGCAAGTGCGCCCAGTTTTTTCTACAACTTCAATTAAAAGTAGTCCACTCATTTGTGTGATTGCCTCGATTCCATTGCCCGGATGTTATAGTATTATTCCTACGTTTGTTACCTTATTAGTGTGAATAAATAGTTTTATGTCTAGTAACGTTCCTCTTCACAAAAATAAGTAGTTGGGGATTAAGTGTCTAGAACTGGTTTGGGTGGGGTTCAAGGGCTATAATTGGAATTTATAGCTTAATCAGCGTTAGTTACAGTACTTAAGTGGGCAAAGTGCAAGGTTTCCGGGGAACTCAGTTTATAAGTGGTCTCCAGTGCAAAGTGCGAAACTTCCGAGGAACTTTATCGGAAACTTCGGGAGAACAGATCTCGGTGGTTCCGGGGAACAAGTGGGGCACCCACCGCAGGGGAAACCCGGGAGCCTTCCCAAATGTTCCCGGACCACGACACCGATTATCTAAGCTGCTTGCTGACGTTTTCGTCCTAGAGTCTTTTTCCTCTCCAGGTGCTGCAGGTCCTGAATATTTCAGGTAGGTAATACCTAAATGTTCCCTCAAATTAAGGAAGCAGATGATCGGCTTTTGAAAAACCGCCAAGAAGTTGCGGACAAGCCGCCTTCTTTTTTTCATCGCTTATTTTCGGATGTAAAATGAAGATGAAAAAGAATGGATTGCATATCGTGATAGAGCTTACCAAGAGCTACAACCCACACATTGCCCTTTTTGGAAAACATGTATCATAAAAGTTTTGAAAATCTTTTTTTAAAAAAAGTTCGAAAATGGCCGCGTCACAATGTCGCGGACAATAATTCTTCGAACGCGAAAATTTTCTGTTAGGTCTTTTCTTGGAGCAAAAGCAGAAGTTATATCCGGACAGGACCGCATACTATATCGTAGAGCTCATCGAGGACAATAATCGGGTAATGGTTCCTTCCGAAAAACTTGAGCTTGAATTTTGTTTTGCTTTTTTTTCAAAAAATAATTTTTAACTTCCTTCTTCAAGCCAAATTTCTTCACATGGAAATCCATTCAAAGCATTCCAACAAGGCTGTTCGGATAAAGTGGATGCTCTTTGCCATCCTCTATGCATCGGACGTGTGCTGGTGAGTTTCTTCGCCGAAAATGGCTCTTGACAGTACGTACACATGACCCCACCTGCACCTCACCGGACTTGCACCGCTCAGGGCCCGGCAGGAGGTGGCATTTCAAAATTTTGAAAACGATATCCCCCTTGAAGCCAAAATTTCTTACGACTTCCCCTTTGACCCTATTTTTGACCCCCGTAAGTCCCTGACAAACGGATATACACAAATAATAAGATGGACGGCCTCAGCGCTTATTATAGTAGTACTACTTGGCTTTCCTGGTCCAGCCCGGGTCATCGTTTGAGGGGATGGCCAAAAACACTTTGTCCTTCTACCTTCCCGTCCTTTTGGGCCATATTCTCCACCCCTTTTCTGCAGTATCAATACTGCACTGCAGCCCTCCCCCCTACCCTCCTGCACGAGCTTACCCCAGAAAGGCTTATTGGAGTGACTGCACTTTCTAATTTTAAAGTGGAAATGAACTTCACTGCATTGTTCACCCCAAAATGTGCAAGCAGTTTGTTAGCGGCTGGTAGTGTTTACTTTCCTTGCAAGGTGCCAAAAAGCATTAAATCGATAGAAGAATTCCACGAATTGCTTCGAAGGGTAGCTTAAAACCATCTACCTGGGCCAAAAACATATGTTTTCAAGGTTTCAGCTCAATGGGTTCATCAGCAAAGGCATCTATAAAAAACATAGGGTCAAGATTTGCACAAACTTTGACGTTTATATATCTAAGATACTACTCATTTATTAGTCAGCTGCGAAACTTTACAATTTACAATAACCGATTGCGATTGGAGCGCGCTTTCCGAGGCTGATCATAACCTGTGAACCCTATTTGGGGCTGTATCGAAGCGGTGCCTTGGTGATTTTGGAAGCGGATTTGAACATATAGTAATACTCTCGACCTAGTCCACATTTATGTAAAGAAATCCAGGAAATTATGTGAGAAGCAGGGAGCCACCCCAGGTGGGTCCCAGGTGGCGCGGGAGCCATCTAATTTCGAAAAACACTTACCATTTTTTAAATTCACATAAGTTTCTCATTCATCATACTTTTTTTGTGCTCATGGTCCTCCAACTACACAGTAAATTTGGTGCCATATCGTTACTTCTGCACTGAAAACGAATCTATTTTGTTATTTTCCTCTTACAAGAATTGCGATTTGAATTCCCGTCTGCGGGCAGGCTAGCGCCCAAAATACGACATCCCCTTTGCTTTTTCGGGCCAAAAACGATATCCAGCTTGTGAAAGCGCCACCCCCGCCGGGCCCTGCACCGCTTTCCAGGCTTGTATCTCAGCCGGAAATCACTCCACGAGCCTGCGTAGGCTCATGCGAAAGAGCGTGACTTCCTGGATAAGATGGTGTGCAAAAGAGTCGGGTGTGAGAAACAGTAGAGATTTGGCGGATGGGGTGACAAAGCGCAGCTTCAGTGGTAGGCTAAAGATTTTTCAGTCAAAGTTGGGCAAAGCTTCTTTCGCCACCAGTTCCATCCTGGAAGTTCAAAGCCGTCAATTTTCTTGTAATAGATCCAATTCGCAGCTCCAGAACCGTTCTAGTATTGATAAGGGCCTTCACTCCATTCACCTCTAGCTGCGCTTTGTCAACCCATCCGCCAAATCTCTACTGTTTCTCATACCCAACTCTTTTGCACACCATCTTATCCAGGAAGTCACGCTCTTTCGAATGAGCCTACTTGCAGGCTCGTGGAATGACTGCCGGCTGAGGTACAAGCCTGCAAACGGTGCGAGTCAGTGGTGAGGTGCAGGTGGGGTCATGTTCACGCACTGTCAAGAGCCATTTTCAGCAAAGAAACTCACCAGCACACGTCCGATGCATAGAGTATGGCAAAAAGCATCTACTTTATCCGAACAGCCTTGTTGGAATGCTTTGAATAGATTTCCATGTGAAGAAATTTGGCTTGAAGAAGGAAGTTAAAAATTTTTTGAAAAAAAAGCAAAACAAAATTCAAGCTTGGGTTTTTTGGAAGGAACCATTACCCGATTATTGTCCTCGATGAGCTCTACGATATAGTATGCCGTCCGGATCGGTCCTGTCCGGATAACTTCTGTTTTTGCTCCGAGAAAGACCTATCAGAAAATTTTCGCGTTCGAAGAATTATTGTCCGCGACATTGTGACGCGGCCATTTTCGAACTTTTTTTAGAAAAAGGTTTTTAAAACTATTATACTACATGTTTTCCAGAAAGCGCAATGTGTGGGTTGTAGCTCTTGGTGAGCTCTATCACCACTTGTAATCCAATCTTTTTTTCGTCATCGTTTTCCATCCGAAAATGAGCGACGAAGAAAGGAAGGCGGCTTGTCCGCAACTTTTTGGCGGTCACTGTATGTAAGTCTCATTTCTAATGATTTAAGCCTTCACAGTTAACAAACAGTACACTCTTGTTACGTTATCTGCTCGAAAAATTGACGCAATAAAGATAAGCCGCGGTGCTTGAGCTAGTCGTAAAAACACGAAGTTGTCGCAAGTCGCTTGCAAGTCATTGTTGCTCTATCCATTGCTGGCATAGGCCTGTTTTTGGCTGAGATGTAGCATTTGATTTCTTTTTTAGGTAGTTCAACCCCCGTGGGCAGCTGCAATGCGCCTTCTGTTCGTGCTACTGGCCCTGGGGGCTTTAGTGGCTGCGGAGCTTTCTGGACACGATATAGTCAGGCATGGTAAGCAACATTTTTTCTGAAAAATAGCAACCAAAATCAATTTTTCACAAAACTTGTTTCTTGGTCTGTTTCTTCTGCTTTTTACATGAAAATTTCCAGTTGTGAAGTCATGGAATCCGAATCGACGAATGAATATCGTACAAGATGACGACGAACATATCTCCATTTCTCCCGCTGAGGTTGATTATTTTAAAATTTATCAGTTATATGAAATTTTTGTCTTTTTAGGAAAGGCACAGGCGATCAAAACGCTCCTTGGCAGCAAGCAACTTTGTCTCAGCCACCAATAAATGCAACATGCCAGGGTATACCGGGGAATTCTGCGAATTTCGTGAGTAAGAGCAGAATAATCCAGAAATGTAGACAAAATAGTAAGCCAAAGTAATTTGTTGACAAAAATCAATGATTCTAACACAAAATAGAGGGTCATAAATCGTCAACGAGAAAAGAATTTTACTAAAATAAAGTATATTTCTAGGTGTACAAGGCCATGTTTTTTTGATTTTGGTTTTTAACACGTGCTCTTGAAACTTATGATTTCAGCAATCTGCATGGAAACAAATATGCATGTACCTGATGTGCCAGCCGATGGACAGGTGTGCTATAATAAAATTTTATAAAATAATGAATAGGCGTTTTGCGCCTTAAATATCATAAAGTACTCAAATCGCACAAAGAGATCATTTGTATTTGGAAAAATCTAATTGTTCAATGTTACCCACAAGAAGAAAGGCGTCAAAACCTTAGGACCAGCCTAAGAAAATTGTTTGATGTATTCTGAGATTCTAGATCTGCAAAATTAGTAGTTCAATGTAGATGGGCGGACTTGGGTTGATTACACCGGGGTTTGCAGCCATCAAATTACTAAAGTATGATAATAGTATTCTTTATTAGCAGTGATATGTCAATCTCAGATTAGAATAAAATAAGAGAGTTACTGGTAGCCTGGTAGGTTCCTATTTACTCAAAATAGAAAAAAAGATTCTAACCTTCTAAACACTACATAATAAAATTTAGAGTCAACTCAGGACGTATCCTAACCTTTGCAGCAGTGGAATCCAAATAAATTGAAATGTTGAGCCTTCCAAACTCTCTAATCTTCCCCTGTGATGAGCTTTTTTTGGTCTTTTCTCTAAATTCTCTTTCGCTATGAGACTTCCAAAATATATTAAATCAAGGGGTATAACGCATTTCAGAAATTCATACTTTATCCATTGAAGCAATTCAAATCATATCTTCAAATTCATGCTTTTTAATGATTCAATTTTGAATTCAAAAGAGCCTTTTGAACAGTTTTGCCGGTTCTTCTCAGACAATGACCGGAATTTCCGCGGAACGTTTGGGAAAGTTCAACCGGGTCATCTGCGGAACTTCTGAAGAATGTGAACCACAAAAACAAAAGAGAGCACCTAAACAAGATTCAAAGCTTGCACTATTGACTATGAGACTCACTTACTACCCTCTGCATGCATTCTAATTGTTGGCGAGCTGACTTCGTAAGAGATAACACATTAAAAACCTGCGGAAGTACTGGCAGGTCAAAGTGCTGCAAAATCACTGGCATTTTCGAAATTCCCGCAGAGTTTTGTAGCAAGTCCTGCGGACCCCGCTTTCAACCATCTGTCGTGAAAATCCCGCGAAAGTTCCTGTTTTCGACGTTTCCACTTTTGTAATAATAATCAAAATCCTGCGGAACCGCTGAAAATTTCGCTTGTCCTGCGGAAGTCCCGTGAATTGTCTGAGTTTATACATGACAAGCAAGGATATTCCAAACCAATCTCTCTAAATCTCAAACTAGATTACTATGTTTGGTTAATTCGAAAATAAAGAAGCTATTTAGGACGCATCCATAGACGGTGCTGTGATAGCCAACTGCACCCAACCATACATAGTTTTTGTGGATGAAACCATGTACTTCATCACGATTACCATCGAATCGGAGTCAAATGTGAATCCTACGTTTACACTACAGGGCGAAGATGGTGGGTTGACTCATCAGACGCAAATTGTATGATTTCAGACTATTAGGCAGATTTTTTACGACCATTGGTGTCGTAAAGATAAAATGTGCGGCTCAGGCTAAACAATAGTCGGCACAACGTATTACGGGGAAAAAATCGAGCTTTTTAGGGAGAAACTATCACATCGGCAAATGTTACATTTTTGTTTTTTTTGTAAAAATCTAAAAACTTTCAAAAATTATTATGTCCAAGGAGGTTGATAAGGTACAAAGACAATCCACCGGTACTGTCAGATCCGCTGTCCTTGCGCGAAACACTCACTTAATCGGTGAAAGTAGTTTCATGGACATTTTTGTCAGCGAGCTGGCATTCTTCCAGGTGATCAGGGAGAGACCAGCGATGTGGTAATAGTCAGGTTATAGTCCATAATTTTTAGCGAATATAGGAGATGGCACAATCATGTCCGAACACGTTCGCATGAGTCACATGGTGCATCATGTTAAGCGCACATTCGCATTTCTAGCATGAAAAGCGATTTTCAAAACATTGACGACGACGCCTAATTTTGCGTGGCGCAATGTGAGATGACGCGATATTGCAGAATAAGTAAAGTTGTTGTTCATTTCGTGATTGTTTACAAGATACGGATGTTTCGTAAACATCTGTAAACAACTTCTTGGACTACGCAGTCTACACATCCCTAAACCGCCATAGATACCCCGAATGCAAAAAATAGGAAAAGATGCTAGATAAAAGGATATGCCGCTGGGCCGCCAGTGGTCATCGTCAGTGGATTAAAAACTTACAAAATTAATTCTACCCTTTCCATGTTCTACACGATGCACACAAGAAAGAAAATTTTTCTACCAATTTTTCTTTTTATTTTCACCCCTCTTTTTGGAATTGCTAGCGGCACAAAGTGCAGTCTTAAAAGAGATAGCGCGAAAGTTTTGAAAAATTATACCAAGAAAAATCACACTTAGAGGCAGAGAAAAAAAAAGAAAAATGACAGTTTTGAGTGTGCTTACAAAGTTATCATAAACTTGTAGTTATTTAAGCATTTGCGGCATCAATCATGCACTTTGAAGATTCTAGAATGTTTCTGGAATATTTTTAAAAATTTTCGAAAAAAAGTGTAACAAGGATTATCTGCCAATTCAATGTTTTACTGTGTTCAGGTAATACCTACCCAGCTGACAATATCTTGGAACAAGCTTCTTCCGTATATGTGGGGTTTTTCAATTTTCTCCCACCTGGGCAGTATGCTGTCATTTCAAGCGCTGATCTACAAAATAGCTATTGTCATATGACAATGAGGGTAAGAAAACGTCAACTAGAGATCGCCCAGATAAAAATGTTATATTTTTTTAGGCAAGGACGGAAATGACCCTACAAGGAGGTTTTCTACTCGGAAACGGTTACCTAGCCGAACGATCAGACTATCCAAATAATCATTTCACATACTACCAGCAGTCTGCTCCTGTAGCTGTTCATGTGAATAGGAACAGAAGCCCTGGCAGTCTTAACTCAATCAAATTTGTTGGAGAGGACAATGTTAGTAAGAAGAAAAACATAAAATTCTATTGTGATGAGTCATGGCAAGAGAAATTCATATTGATCTTCAAAATAGTGCTTGACAAAAAAATCTGAGAAAAAGATTTAGTAGGGAAAACCATGAAAACGAAGCTATTCCTTCGGCTCTGCTGTTTCTCTTCTGCTCGTCTGCATCTCCACCCATTGCACACTATTTCGTACGAGAGGAAGGATACCGGAACCATATGCCAGGGCGCATGTTGTAGCGATAGTGCGCGATAAATGGAGACGCAGACGAGCAGAGGAGAAGCACCAGAGCCAACCAAACTTTTGGCTTAGCTTTCTCGGTTCTCACGGATCTCCGAGGCCGTAAAAAGCAATCTCCCAATTTGACAATGCACATACTGCTTTTGACATTCTTTTCTCGGTGTTCTAAAATAAGAAGTTTTAACGTCCCTTCTGCCACTCCTCCTTTGGCACTTCCGCCGAGGTTAACTAATCTAAAAAATTGAATCATGCACGGTTACTTACAAAATTTTGGTCGAGGAGCGGGAAGGATAAAAATTTTTCATTTGCTAGGCGTAGGCCACAGCATTGGCTATACCCTCCAAAAATATTTTGGTGTGTTTCTTAGATTTTTTTCATAGGATTGTGATCCTAAAGTTTTAAAAATGGTTTCTATAGCATTAATAGTGTCAGTAAAAATTTTAAAGCTGATTTCAAAATTTAATAAATTGACTTCACTTATTTGCAAAAAATTACAGTGCCTGCATGATCTTATAGCTTAAGTAGACAAGTTTCGTAAATTTCGGACCTTCAGGCGAGGGGGGGGGAGAAGAGAGAGAAGCGGATTTCGTTTTCTTAGTCTCAAGCCCATAAAAATTCGTTTGTGGTAGATGTGTATTTAATAACGTGCGAAAAACACACACTAAAAAACTTTTGAGTGACCGAAACTCAGAGTTTTGTGTAATATTCGAAATTGTAGACATTCTACCGGCCAAGACTTCTCCAAAAGCGTTACAATTGTTCGTATGAATATATCTTCGAATCGTTTTTCTGTACACAAAAAGGATACTTCTATTATCAGGTAGGTTGTTTCAAATTTTGAGAATATTCGTTTTTGATTTCAATATACATGCTTGCATAATATATGCGAATTAACAGGTAGAAGGAGTCACTTTCCAAGGATTCAACTTTAGAAGAATTCAGCCGTTCAACTGTATAGGTACGTATCTTTTCTACCGTAATCTTAGCCATAACCCACCGTAATCTTCGTAAAAATACCGTTTAGTTGACCCGAACACCACACCAGCACCCGCTACTACACCAACTCCAACTCCTCCCAGTGTTTGTCAAAATGGCGGAGTACTCGTCAAAGCTCTAGACGGGACCACATATTGCTATTGTGTGGGATTATACACTGGCGCCAAGTGCGAACAAAGGGTGTGCAGCAATGGAGGTTATCTTTTTAGAAATTTACATAAAGTCTGGCCAAAATTTGACCTTACAGAGGATTGGAAAAAATCCTATGAAAATTGGGTTTTTCCGCTGCCGAAGACATTTTTCGGAAACCATAGAGTAAAATCTGAAAAATTGTACGCTCTGCGGCCAATTTCACGTTCAAAAATAAATTTACAAGCAGCGCATGTGATTACGCGCAAATTTTGTCACCACCGCAAAGGCACTATATTTACCGCCAGATTTATTAGACTGTAATAAATTTGTGTTGTTCAGGTACACTAACATCCGACAATACTTGCAGATGTCCAAATGGTTACGAAGGAAAGCACTGTGAAAATGGTAAGATTCTTGGCACTTTGCCAAATGTTTATTCCTCGTCCATTAAACTACTTCCCCTCTTAACAACTTCAGAAAAAGTATTGTAAAACACTTTTACCACGTGTCAGCAATAATAAGCGAATCAAAAACCACATTCTCGAACAACTATCAGCGATTTAAAATGCAGAAGTATTAGGTTGTCAAGAAAATAATGTCCGTTTTTATTTGCTTGCTTTAACAAAGCAACTACACTCAACCCAACAAAGGGCAAAGGGTCCGTTCGATAGAGCAAAGCAAGCTCTACAAGATGGCACTCATGTCTTTGCGCCATGCTCGATCCACGGAGAGTTCGAACTCAAAATCTAAAGATTTCCAAATGCCCAAAAAATCGAAAAAAATCAGATCTTCGTCCAAATAATTTCTACGGACCTCCCACTCTCTCACATCAATACTATCGATATCTGATATCCATATGTGCGATTCCGTATTTTTTCCTTGACTAGAAACTGAGAAAACGAAAATTTCCCTGATTTTCTCAAAGCAAAGCTGAGCCGTTTTTGCATATGTAGTTCTATACTACAAGCCTAGGTAAGTATAACTGTAGATTTTCAGCCCATTCCAACCGGTAGTTTTCGAAAATTAACAAATTCGGATTTTTTCGTTTCAGTTTCAGTACTAAAATCGACATTTCTCGAAAAGTACCGCTCGAAATAGGCTGAAAACCTACAGTTATGCTTACCTAAGCTTGTGGTATAGAATTACAGATGCAAAAACGGCTCAGCTTTGCTTTGAGAAAATCAGGGAAATTTTCGTTTTCTCAGTTTCTAGTCAAGGAAAAAATACGGCAATCGCACATATGGATATCAGATATCGATAGTATTGATGTGAGCGAGTGGGAGGTCCGTAGAAATTATTTGGACGAAGATCTGATTTTTTTCGATTTTTTGGGCATTTGGAAATCTTTAGATTTTGAGTTCGAACTCTCCGTGGATCGAGCCTGGCGCAAAAACATGAGTGCCATCTTGTAAAGCTTGCTTTGCTCCATCGAACAGTACCCCTTACCCTTTGTTGAGTTGAGTCTGGTTGCTTTGTTAAAGCAAGCAATTAAAAACGGACATTATTTTCTTGACAACCTAGTACTACCAGCTACAGATTCATCGCACGCAGCGAGAGGGCGTCACCTCGCACGCTGTAGGCGTCTCTTCCACCAACCACACTATCATCCCCCGTATCGTCTCTTCCAAACACATGCTGTCTCATTCGGCCGCAGAGGGGACCAATCTCCCTGTGCGAATCGCTTATACCCTGAATTAGCGGAGAGAAATAATAATGGGAGCAGGCTTTTTGACTATGACACTCACGATAGCTAGCTTACAAAGGAATGGTCAGAAGTCGAAGTGGTCAAACCAAGCAAGCTGTATACCATTCGATGCAGTATGAAACGCTGACTTTGAATCTGTCTTCCTTATCTACAGCAGTTTTATTATTGAAAAATCGTTCATAAAAAATGTGAAATTGAGCAAATTGTTGTAAGTTCAGCTCAGCTTTAGGCTTTGAGAATACGAAGTAGGTTAGCTGCATGTTTTGGCCCAGCATGAAGCCGAACGTGGCTCTGTACGTCAAAATTTTCACTTTCACGTATAATTTCTTAGCAAAATATTGGCCTTTAATGGCTTACAACTTCATCCAGAAAAGCGATAAGCAGATAAGGAAGACAGATTTAAAGTCAGCGCTTGATGCTGCATCTAACGGTATGCAGCTTGTCTGGATCAGCCACTTCGATATCTAACCATTCCCTTGTTAGTTTCCTACAGTTTGTGTCAATAATTTGAAAACCTCGCTATCTTTTCCCCAACCCGGCCTCATTTATCCAAATCTTGTCCCGGGTTTGGTACTGACCAAGCCATGTATTAACCACCGAAGCAACCATTTTATCTCTGAAAAAATTACTCTGAATTACTCAAACTGCAGTGATATGCGTCGATAACAATGGATTGGAATTCAATGCCAACGAGCCGACTCTCACGTTTGTTATCCGAAGCAGGCAACAGTTGAGCAGTGTGATTACTCAGGTAAGCGCCATGAAAAACAGTGAAAATCTAGAAAAATTTGCCTTCGATGTTGGTATACAGATAATTTGGATATTTGGGGTTTCTAATGTGAAATGTGATTAGGGGGGGGGGGAGGGAAGAAGATCTTAGCGAAGTCAGTGCTGTAGCGGCAGTTCACGTGATTCTTTCGTGGATGAGAAGTTTGACTCCATTTAGTTCCCTTCTACCGTATTTAGGAAGCTGATGTCCCGCACAAAAAGATTACAGTCTGTGCGAAACTTTAAGATTAAACTTTTCGACAACAAATGATTCATATGAGCCTTGTTGGGCAATTATATCCAGGGCTCGGCACGAGGTGGCTAGATGAAAATGGAAAAAACGAAGTCCCCCTTGACTTTTGGGAATTTTTACGAAGTCCCCTTTGACCCTCAACCAAATTTCCTTTAAAAACCTGAAAAATTCCCCAAAATCCCCCAAAAACGAAACGTCGACTAAAAAAAAAGGTCGCCGTCGCCAATTTTCCGTGTCTCTTCGGTCACAAAAACGAAACCCCTTTGCTTTTCGTCCCAAAAAAAGATACCAGCTGGCTTACAAGCCACCTATGCCGAGCCGTGATTATATCACTAAGGTCTCCCAATTAGTATCCATATAAGTAACCTGGGTAATAAGGATCTGGTGCTGCTTTAAAAATATAGTGGATATAAAATTGTTTCTTTTTTCTCAATTATCCACATATTGCAGGCAACTGACGCCATCGCAAGTGTGGTTAATGATTTGAGTTTTGATCCCGACTATATCAAAGCCTATGTCTTGGTTCTATTCAACAATGGACGTAAGTATTGAAAGTCCAACAGCCGGAAAATATTTACTAATACCAAGATTTGCAGAAATGCTCAACTCTCGGGTCTATGGCTCTTTCGATGATATGAAAATTGATTTGCTCAAAGCAGAAAACACTGGTGACACGAATGGAAGTTGCACGGATGCTGTATTCGCCAACACCGCGTGAGTATTTTGCGTCCACTACCGTACTTGCTGCGGAAACTCCTTTATATGGGACAAGAAGGGAAGGCGGGGGAGGGGGAGGGCCGATCATGAATGGGAAGCGGTAAACCCCCTTTAGACCACAATCTGAATAAATGTTTCTGGAGTGATCCTAGAAAAAAGCGAGCTTTTAAAGTTCTGATCTAAAGGATGTGCAGTCCTACACATCAATTTCGGCCGCTCACCATTTATGGAATCGGTCTTTGTAGGTCCAGTTCATTTTAGAATTATAACAAGGCTCTAATGACTAGAAATTCTTGTGCAAACTCACCTCCATCAGAACTTTAGAAGGTACTTATTTTTGAGAAACATTTTAGAGCTGCTCTCCAGCGTTATCTCACCTACAAATCGCCTGTCTATATCATCACTGATGCTTTGCCAAATGATTTGGATGCAATGGAATCCGTTTTTCACCTTGATTCGTACTGGCGTGTACCTGTGAGTTAAACCAGACCCAATAATTCAGCCCCTATAAGTTATATTGCAAATTTGGCATCTTTCCAGCTCAATTTCATCTATTTGGAACCAGCACCATCTGCGGACTGTGCGACAACCATTGAGAGTGCGGACTACAGAGCCATGGACTCCCTAGCTCAGCGAACTGGTGGAATGACATTCTACTTCCCATACAATAAGCGAAATCAGATACAATCGGTAGACAAAATATAAATCCTTTTTTGAAATGTTTTCATACAGAAAAATTCTTTAGTTCCTATACCAACACATGTACAGTACGATCTACCGTTCTCAACTACTCCTATTGGACGATTTGCCAGTTTGCGCCAATCAGAAAGTGTTCAATCCGATTTCGATCGATATCTCAGCCGAGCAGATGGTTATTGTGGCTACTGGAAGTGAGTCACTGATTTTTTAAAATTTTCACCGGGTCGAAGGAATTTTGTGCTACCGTAATCCATTATCTTCTAGAAAATCTATCACTGGTGCTTACTACGCCAGAGGGTGACCTTTCAAACTATGATACGGTATACAATGATGGAATAAATTATGTGTGGTATGTTATTTTTGCTAAATTTTATTGAAAAACGGGGAGTGCTGATTTTTCAAATCAGTAGAGCGATAAAATCAGCCGAAATTTCTATGAACATTGCCATGGGAAAATTCTGAGATTTTTCACCTACGGGATTCGGACCATCCAGTGTTGGGAAGAATAAAATGATAAATACAGTCAAAATACTGAGAAGTTTTCCTTATAACCACATGGTCTAGGCCTATTGTCTTTCAATCAATAAATCGATAAGAACAGCTTGTTTTTTTTTCAGAAAAAAAATTGATTTTTTCTCCTTATAAGCCAGTCAATCATAATTTGTTGTTTATCCATTATGACGATATTATTTAGTTTTCCCTACCGTAACCTTACAGCTGAGTCATATCATACGAAATATTGTATATTGCACGCTATACAAACTCATCAAAGAGAGCTAGATAAAATTCAGAATATAAAAAATCTTTGAAAGCAGTACAATGCACTTTTCCATATGTATAATCGACAAACTTTTTTTTGCGAATTTAGGACAAAAAATGGACCTTATACTGGAAATTGGATGATATCGCTTTGGACATCCGAAGAGACATTGGGCTGTAACTATAAGGTCTATCAAAAATCGTACCATACTCAGGGTAAGTCATTTCACCATAGACTTGTTTTTCATCGCAGTCGAAAATATCGAAAAAATCTACAATATCTTCCATTTCAAATCATCTAGCCTCGCTCTCCAATCAATACGATCTGTTCTGGGGTGTTGCTGGCCAGATCAATGTTGATACCGTATCCCTACAACCGTACTATAACTACGCACAAGGCATTGTCATGCATCTGACAAACTTCCGTCTCGAAACACCGCCAGAGCGCGTGTCGACCGCGCTGACTGTCAGGGCAATCAGGAACAATAAACCGGTTACGGTAAGTGGTCAAAGACGTCTTAGAAAGAGGGAGGGATCAATCGAAATTGAACGAGTAAGCATGGAAAAATTTAATAATGAAAATTGCATTGAGTTTAGATGTTTCCACCAATTTCATACTCGCTCGATATCTCTACGTTATCTTATTATAATTAATTTTCAGACAACTATGAATAAACTTTCTGGGACCGGCTTACCGTTTTGAATTGCACTGATAGTATGGCTATGATGGGAATGTGCAGAAAAAACTGAAACTATCAAAAATTCACAAAATTGCTGAGAAAATGTGGTAAACATACTTTACGAATGCGACAAAAACTTTGTGATTTTCGACCCTCTGACTGGTTCGAATGCACTCACGCAACTTATATTTTTTTTCAATTTCTACTTCTTCAGGCGCAATGAAAATTTGTTTTCGTATTTCGAAGACAGAATATAGCCCCCTTTCGACCGCTTTATACAAGTTTTGATTCAATTTGCAAAATCTTGGAAAAACAGAGCACTTTTCAAACTGGCTCTCAACTTGGAAAAATAGTGTACAAGAGTCAAGTGAATAGAATTTTGTTGAATTTTCTTTGAAAATGGATAGGTTCTTTCGGAATTGCTCGTTTTTTTGAGCGGATCTAGGGGAAGTAAGCAGCATTGGCAATGAATAGAGCAATTAGAATAGACCAAGAATAGCTGTTTCCGGCTGGCGGAGCTTGGGGGGGGGGGGGGTAAAGAATATGAAAAAAATTTCCATTGATTTGTAAGAGGATACCCAAACTATAATCACAGATTTTGTTTGCAGCATGTAGCAAATGGTATCATGGCTAAACAGCACATCTTTCAAATAATTGCAGAATTTTTTTTTACCAACAGACTACAGTATTTGTCCTAGCATGAGTAAATTTTTCGCTTGAACGGGGAGGGGGGGGGGGGGAGTGGGGTGTGGGGAGGGGGGGGGGAGGGGCCGAAAGTAGAGTGGGAGCTGTTGACGACTGAATTCCAATGTCTTTATTTGCAGGTCTTCGCAACAAATGGTGAATGGCGTGATCTTTGCTCGTATAACTTCTACTTCCCACCAATGCAATGCAAAGTTCCAAATGAGATTCTGTACTTCAACGTGCGTTTTCAAGCTTTGGATTCTATACTAGGACTAGCCTAAATAGTAATTTTTTTTAGTTTTTCGTTCGTGATTCATTCGGTTTCGCTGTGCAAAGAGCTGGAGTGATGTATTGCGCCGAGAGTAAGCTATCAGTTTAGCTGTAATTTTAGGGCAACGCAAAATCTTATCGAATATTTTAGTCCAACCCACACCGGAACCACCACCACATCAGTGTCAGAACGGAGGTATCATCAATGCAGCTAACACCACCTGCTTCTGTCCACCAGGATTTACTGGACAATATTGTGAACAAGTGGTAAGTGTACTTTTCGTGACTTAACCCTTTAATTATTGGGTAAGGTAAAGTAAGGAGGAAAAAGTACAGGTTGGCTCAAAATTAGAGTCATTCAATGACAGTAGGAGCTGACAAGGTAAAAAATTAGATTTTCTTTACCAATATTAGGTAGTGATACTGTATTCAATATACTAGATTACTGCATAATTCTTTCATCAAATTTTTTCGGAATTTTTTAACTTTCTCCAGCTTCAGTGATACTTTTTGATTTGATAAATAGCAGAGTGCAAAATTTTGCGTTCGTTACTTCTTTTTGTACGTTTCTAAACCCTATTCCGGGACGAAGACAAATATTGTTTCGTGAAGCGGGCGCGATCGCTGCGCCCATGGCAACTATCATCGCTGAGGCGCCTGTAATGCAGATATCTGAGGCAATAACCGCTCGCGCACCGCGCCGCTTACCTCATATGGGCATCCGCCTTAGTTCGCAACTAGCCTTTACCTACGTATATGGCATCAGAACTTTTTTCTCTAGATGTGCTATAACGGCGGTACTCCTGCTGGACAATTCTGCCAATGCCCTACTGGTTGGACTGGAACATTCTGTGAACTTGGTAATTTGAGAAAAATTAAAAAGAATTATGGGTCCCTAAACGGAATGTTTTCAGCCAAGTGCACCCAAACCGGTATCACACCAGAGTATATGCGCACAGATGTCGACATGATATTTGTGCTGGAACTTACACAACAAGCACATGCTCAGGTTGGTGAATTAATGGGCGTCCTTATTCTCTAGGCAAAGGGGCCTGGCTTTTAGTACCTTGCATAGTTTGAGGGGAAGAAGAATCTTTACTGTGAGAAATTTTAAGGGGGTTTAGAAAACTCATGGGTATGATTTTCATTTTGTTTATGAAAAAAATTATAAGGAAGAGTTAGCAGCTACCTTTACTCCCCGGGCAGTGGGTGAAAGGGCGTGGCCTCTGGTACCTTGACTTTTTTAACAGAAGATAAATCTTCTTTGGGAAAAAATACTTTATGAAAAGGTATTTTGCCAAATTAAAACATACGAGTGTTTTTTTGTTGTAAAAACTCATTCAAGTAGATCATAAGTCATTGTTGCCCGAGACGAGGATAGAATGACCTATATTGAATTTCTAGATAATTTTTTGTATGAAAGTCTTATGGGAGAATTAGCTGACAGCTTCAGTGCATAAATCCTGTTCCTTACAATAAAAAACTGTAGAAAAATCGCCAGGTAAGTAAAAGGCATGGTTCAATATTTTGCGTGTTGAGGATGAAATATTTTCTCCAAAATATTAATGAAAGAACTAGCCTAGTGACATCTTTTGAACATAACTCATATTTCTCAAGAGTTAATGAAAAAGATCTATCTGTACATCATTTTGCGCGGGTGAAGAAGCCTGGCTTTTGGGAGTTTGCATGGATTACATTGAAATAGATCATTTATTGTAATAAAGTCATGAAAAATGAATGACAAGGACAATCTAAGCATCCCATATAGGTCTACTTTCTCGATACTATATTCGCTGATCTTATTCGTGATATTCAATCACAAGATGGCAACTGGATAACACGCTACATCATTGCTGGCTACAATTCTACGTGTCAGTCAATTTCTTTTACTTTTTTTGAAAATTTGACTTAACAAGATTCGATTCAGGGGCTGACATCATCTTTATATCTCCATCATCGAATCCAGCTAGCATGATCACTTTCATGCATAACTTGGCAAAGGATATACCTACCGATACAGGTTGTGTAGTGGAGGTAATGTTTCAATTTTAGAATGCGTCGGAAGATTTGGCGGGAGATTAACAGTTGATGAAAAATCGATAATCGATCACTTTCTATCTAGATTATTTCTTCCCTAATTGAAATCATCTTGGTAGGAATATCAAAAATCTCAAACTTCTCGACGATCAAAAATAAACTTGATTGAAAATTAATAATCATTTTTTACCTTTTGAGCTTTGCTTGATGTTAATCAATATCCGAATCACTTCTTACCCAATCCAAGTGGAATCGATAAGTCAATATTTTTTTATCAATAAATAATAACTCAATAGTTATTTATCAATTACGTCGTGAAAAATCACTAACTGTTCACTTTTCATTTAGTAGAATGGCGTCTGAAAACTAATAATCGAATAATTCTATTCATTCAAAGTGGCACTGAAAATTTATTGATTGCTTCTCACTTGCTTCAAAACATCCTTTGTAGGAAATTCATAGCGATTATTTCTCGCCCGAGGAATGACGCCTGATGAAACGTCAAAAAGCGATTTCTTCTTATGTTGTCAATATAGCGAAGGATCCATAATCGATTACTTTCCATCTATTTGGATTGACACTTTATGAAAAGCCAGAATCAATTTACCTTTGGGTAAATTACGCTCGGTGAAGAACTCGTCAATTTTTTACTTCTCATCTAGTTACATACCTCTTCAAGTGTCTATAATTGAATACTTTTTATACTTCTCATCTTTCTAAAATTGTACTTGATAGAAATCAATAAAATACTACATCTCACTTAATCTGAACAAATTGAAGTACAGTAAAAATTAATAATTGATTGCTTCTCACCAAAGTGAAAATACACCTGATTTAGAGCCAGTAATGGATTACTTCTCTTCTAGTTGAAAACATAGTTGAAAAATCAGTGATTCACTGCTTGTCACTTAGTCTGGATAAGTTTGAATGACACCTATCAAAAAAATCAATAATCGATTGATTCTTACTTGGTTTGATTAAGCTTGGTAAGAAAAATAATCGATTACTCTCCAGTTTTAAAAGCACTTGGTATTTCGCAACCAGTGACTTTATACTTGACATTAACTCTTTCACAAGAAATTACATTCTATAAAAAACAATTATCAATTGATTCTTATTTAGCTATGGAAAGCGCTTGACATTACATCCAGACATGTTAGATTCGGCTCCTATGTTGAAATCTTTAGTGTAAGTAGTTCTAAAATAATTTTGGTGATTTTTTAATAATGTGGTCAATTTTTCAGGCTTCTCCACAAGATCAGAGCAGGATAGACAATTTCTTCACCGCCTATGAGAATGCAAGAGGTCTAGGTGTTCGTGTGAATGCCTTCGTTAATATCAACCAAAACGGATATTTTTGCAACGCTAGCTTTGTGAGCGATACCCAACTATCGTCAAATGAGAAGAGTTGAAAATATGCAAAGTTTAGACGGACTTCGAAGCACTCGGTGCTTTAACATCATCCACTACTGGCTACAATTATCCAATTCAACCTCTGGATATATCTACAGCGGTGAGTCTTTTCATATTTCGTAAATTGAAAAAAAATGAACGGTCACAGTAACTTAAAAGCAGCGTCCGCGCAAAATTTCCCATGTCATTCTGGGGCTTTTCCATGGAACTGATTATAGTTATGAAGCTCAAAATGCAAAACCCCGAAAAATCCGACTTCTGAGAACCTTACTTTTGGAGGCTTACAAGGGAGGTGTTTTCGGTCGAAATGGCCTTTTCACATGAAATTGATACGGCTATAAAGAGCATCAAACGTTGATTCCAAATCTGTTTTCGTTATCTGCCGAGCACCTCTAGACGTCGAGTTATGAATATTTTCTTGGTGCGAAAAATGAACGCATAATCCAAGTAAGATAAAATTTTACTCTTCTCAGCGCTCAAATAGAGCAGTGTTAAGTATGAGTGCTTTGGATAGAAGGTATTGTTCAAATAAAGTACTTTGATAATCAACATTGGACCATTTGAGCAATTCTGACAAATATTGTCCTAATTATGCATTTAATTGCTCAACTTAAAAAACGCTCATAACGCGACGTCTAGAGGCGCTCGGCAGATAACGAAGACAGACTTGGAATCAGCGTTTGATGCTCTTTATAGTCGTATCAATTTCATGTGAAAAGGCCACTTCGACCGAAAACACCTCCCTTGTTAGAAGATTTTCAGTGCATGGATGGGAGAAGCACGATAAGTAGGCGTGGCTTGGTAGCACTTTGGAGGTTTTCGGTCCACTATCTCTATTCATAGAAGACAGTGAAGGACCGGACCAACGCAGGTGGCCCTCTCTTGGGGTCATTTAGGATAGGTACTCATTGGAGGGGCTTAGATTTTGCTTGGGTGCTGCCCTCAACATGTTTTCCTATAATTTACAATTGCCCTGCTCCACTACTTTTTGATTTACAAGCTCAGAAAAAAAAGAAGCCATAAAGTCGTTTTCAGAACTTGTGTTTTAACAACAGGTCGTGAGATGCCGCGCATGAGGTGCAGTACACAAATTAACCCGACTGCATAAACTGTGTATTACAGTATTGTATCATAGTTCTTCGACAAACTTATTTTGCCAGAATTGGGCTTAAAATTTGTATAAAAGTTCATTGGGAAATGGCACTTTTGCAATCATACAGTATGCTCTCTTGCTGGTGTAGCCCGCATCATAACGTTACTTGACATGAAATTACTCGTAGTTTAAAAATAATTTCGCTCCTTCAAGCTAAAGCAAAAGAAAGCGTAAGTCTTCATAAAAACACTGTTACACTACCTACTTTTTTTCTGCTTATTAGGTCCTGCAGCGCAAATATTATAATGCGGTTGAAAATCCTTACACGTTCTTGAATTTTTAGAACATAGGGACTACGCTATCATCGCTGATCTTTCGAATAAGCAACTAAATTTGCTTTTGATAAATCAAGAATAGAAATTTTCTCAGTTGGAATCAAGATATCATATTTTTTTTATGACGGTGTATATGACAATTTTTTTCAGGTTCCTCGCCTCATCCCTATCCAATTCTCCTCCGGTATTGTTTATTCACAATATCAGCAAAATTGCATGGATAATCACAATATGCAGGTACACAATTTTATAATGATGAAAAGAAATTTCCTCAAAAATTCAAAAATCTAGATCTTCTTCCCAATCGACGCTTATGCACAGACAATCCAGTTGAACGCCATTGGATTCAACAAGACCGTGACAATCTATGATGGGAACGGTAAAATTTCCGTAATTATCTCATTTTTGGATTTCAGTGCGGTTGGGTTAATATATGCACATATGAAAATAATTCGGTCTAAACCTCATAAGCCCTGCGAGCAGAAATTACGGCTAGAAAAGCTACTCATGATAGGATAAACCCCATGCGGAAAGACGTTATAAGCAATCCGTGGTGATCTGTCACAAACGGCGCATTTTTAAACATGGCAACTCATGCAGATTACATGTAACCTATCAGTAACATAAGGTCCTCCATCCTAATTATGACTTTATACAGTTTGAAAAAATCTTCAATTTGAAGTCGATATCAGAGAACAGTACTTCTAGAAAATTAAACGATAGCGCGAGTGGATAAAATTGGATAAAAATATCATTCCTATTTTAGTATATTGTAATGAAGGATTATCATAATATACTATTTGCATTCTAGGTAAACAGCAGGATTCTATGGTGATACTGAGCGATTCGTCAAGTGGATGGGATATCTTAGAAGTTCGAAAACGTTGGTTTGACTCAATTTAATTTCAGCTATTGAGAGTAGTTCCGGATGAAGGCGGAATCGCACTCGCGCGCTTAGCTCATATGAGCATACAACGTCTGGGACTATCCCCTAGCTAAACATGCGCTCGCCCTCAAAAGCTATAAAATGAAATTTTTTAGAATGTGACCAAGGTTGGGATCAAGTCGGCCAATACTGCATTCGCTTCGAACTACGCCAACTATCATTCAGCGATGCTGATAGTTTCTGTCATAGTGTTGGTGGAAGTCTTGTGGATGATCTGAGTGATGCAAAACACAGCTATTTGCTGAGTAAGTGGTTTTATAGTTTGTCTCACTTGCAGTGTCCTTTGCGTGCGGCTGCGCATCCGCAGCGCGAGGCTCTTGCGTGCTAAACTTTTACCAATGAGAGCGATTTGACTGCTCAGGCTGCGTCCAGAGTAGCCTGCGCCAACGCCTGCCAACGCCATGCAAGACCGTCCATTGCTCAAAACAGGGTGCGCCCCATGAGTTCGGGCACGGCGATAACAAATCGTTGGCACGGCGCTGGAGCGGCGGTGGCACAGGCCGATACACAAGCTACTTTGGACGCTGCCCTGATCAAACGCCCGCGAAAGCTGCGCGAGGCACTCGCGAAGCGGATATGCCGATAGAAAAGTACACCAGGATTGAGATAGACTGTAATTATCCTGAACGAACGATCAATCCGCAAGCTGCGTGAATTACAGTAGAGGCGGCTGGATTGGATTTTTGGATTGGTCTTAGCAATATCAACAACACCGGATATCAGTGGGATAGACCTCATGATATGCCAGCATTGCCGGTAGGTTTCATTACCCAGATTAGCCCCAAGCCTGTGTATTCAACGGTGAATATAGTACTCTTATATTGTCAACAACATTTGCGCGTAATCTGTGGCAATGTGCGTCTTTATGGCCATTTTTTTCGCGCAAATCGTAAGCAGTTTGTCGGCATCCACAGATTTACATTCGTTTCCGCGCAAATGGTGTCGTCACCGCACAAGCACTATATTAACCATCAATTCTAATGAACACAACTTTGCACAATTTTTTTAGCTGACCGAACCCACATACTGGACCGGTGTGCAAGCTCCCACCTACGATCCCAAGAAACAATGCGTCTACTGGGATGATGCGCAAGCAAGCAACAGAAATACATGGTAAGCTCAGCATAGTAGCATCGTCCATTCTATAGGGTATTTTCTGTGATTGCACAAAATATGCTCATTGCGCGTCGAGTTTCGGAGTTGCCGATTAACCTCGCAAAACCTCATGAAGACTTTGCTAAAATCACAAAGGCGCATATAATTAGCGAGTTTAGAAATTTTTTTGAATAGGCGGGGGGGGGGGAGCGGGTGACTATAATTTTTTCGATTAAAAATGCACGCGTTTCCGAAAGAAATTTGAGCCATTTTCGAAATTTTGGTTGAGCCTATAACCTCAAAATCAGAAAAAAATTTCATAAAGTTGATTTTATTGACATATAAAAAACCCCCAAATTTCCATGCTCGTGAAGGGAGTGAGGGGGACGTAAGGAAGAAAAGACCTAGACGAGATATTGGAATATAGGCATAAATAGCCTTGTTTACAAAATCCCCGATTTTGCGAGTAATATTTATGTTGTGTGCAATCGCACATGTTGTATTACGAGCTTAACTGTGCAAGTTGCATAGTTACCTTATACCTCTTCCATATAGGACCCCCGGCGATTGTTCTGTTAAACGTGCATTCGTCTGCCAAAGACATCGTTACGATCCTGACCACAGGCCGAATGTTATTGGAAGCCGTAAGTTTATTAGCCATATCCATTCCGAATTGATTTTTTGTGTATTTTTAGCGGACCTCCCGGCTGGTAAATGGTACGCAAACGTACAAGTAGCATCCGCAGCAAATCCATGGTGTTTTGTGCAAGTTCGCGTACAGAGCGATCTACAAGTTGTTTCTGGCTTTGTGACCGCAGTGAATGAAGACATGCCTGGCTTGGATCCCATTGGAGACTCGAGTACGATAATAGACTAATTTTAGAAAAAATTTTGAAAAAGTATTTTTAGACAACAATCGCCTAATCTCGCACGTGCACAGTCTGGATAACGAACATCGTACTCCCGTACTGACTCATGCTTTGATCAACGACGCTTATAATGGTATATATTTTTTTAATTATTTCTATAATTGGTAACGTTAGGCTGCGTACAGAGTTGCACCAAAGCCGTGCCAGCGCTGTTCCGGCGCTGTGCCGGGAGCGATCGATCGGCATGAGGCTCGTTTACGTATATTTCGAATTTGACATAAGCACGGCGTTGGCACATGGATTTTTTTCGCTACGCTGTCAAATAACAAATCATAGTAAACGAAAATGTAGTAAAACAATTTTTTGTTCACCTATACAGTAAAACCACCGTAATCCTTAGAGTCTCGTAAGGAGAAGTTTCTGGCAATTTTAACAAAAATTATGCCATCAAAAATTTGCTTAGTAAACTTGTGAATAAGCCTCATAATTGTAATAGAAAAGCAAGTTCAAATAGCCTCGAATGAAGAGAGCGGTCTACAGTATTCCTACCGTATGATCTACGCGCCAACGCAGTAGTTGATAACTGCCTATATTTTCAATATAGAACCTGGGCAACGAATAAAATACAAAAATCAATAAAAATAATATGACCTATTCTACCGTAATCCAGCCACCTTCTACAATGCCGCTACGTATGGTATACGAGCTTCATGCGCTTATCCATGGGTATCACAAACGTTTTCTTGTCCTAATGTTGAAAACGACATGAACGAGCTGGTCATCACTGTGAGTTTACTGTAAATATTTTTTTACAATTTTTACAAGAAGAAAAATTATTGTTTTTACAGCATATTGGAGAGGACGTATTTGGAAATACATTCCAACGAGTCAGCACTGCTCATTGCTCAAAAGCAGGTAAGTCGGCGCTATTAGCAGCTAGCATAAATCAGCAAATTCATCTTGAAAGCTAGAAAAAAATTGACCCCCTCCAAGAACGGGCTATGATTTTTTTCAAACTTCTACGACTTAGAAAATTCTGCAACAGACGTTTTCACTTACTCAAGAAATTTTGAAATTCTAGAAACTTCCAAATCGTCTTCCAAAAATCAAAAAGAAAATTTTTCTCTTGCCCTTATTCTACAATTTCACATGCGAGAATTAAGGAGCGTAGTAGAAAAATTCCCGAAGAAGTGTCTGACGCCAAGCTTTATCGCAAAAAAATTTTTCGGCGTCCTCTCTCATCAAAAAATTTCACAGCCAGTGTTCACAGTGACAAGCTTGCAGCTAAATGGGCAATGATAAAATTCATATTTGAAATTTGTTTTTTTTTTGAAATGTATTGTTTACAACGAAGGAAGGGGATGGGAGGGAATCCTTTATACTTTCCAGATTTTTAAGTATTGATCTGCAAGTTCTGTGAACTCATTTTTTGGGACTTTACCCCTCCTTGGCATTTCTTCTTTCCATGAGTCTACTTCCATGTAAAAGAGGAAATCGTGTGCTTTTCGAATTTAGGTTTTTGAAAAATTTGATATGTAATATGTAGTAATGGAGCCCTAAGTATCAGAGTTCTATGATCGACTCTTTGCAAATGAGCAAAAACTTTTTACAATCAAATATTTCACGCAAAATAAAAATTTCGAGAAAAATGTCAAAAAAGATGTAAATGGAAAGACATTGTTGCAATGTTTTAGTAAAGTAAGTTTTGTGACTGTTTCACAAGACCTTTTGGATATTTCTTGAATTTTTTTCGAAAATGGAAACAGCTGCGTTTTAAATAATTTGTTTGTGATTAGATGATCAACGACAATAATTTGTTGAATTTGTTTTATCAAAGTGTATCCAAAAATTTCTTCAAAAAAGCTCTAATTTTCAGCGATCACTTGCAATGGTGGAGTAAGGTATCAAGGAACTTGCGTCTGCACAGAATATTGGACGGGTAACATTATAAATATCACTTTATCTGAATCTCAAAATCAATTTTATTTTACTAAAAATTCCAGGAAAACAATGTAACATTCCAATTTGTGTTAATGGTGGACAGCGAAGCAGCGATAATAGAGAATGCATTTGCCCTGAAGGTTATGGCGGATTCCATTGCGAACTAGGTAACATTTTTTTGAATTTTCAAAATCAGGGTAATTGTTAAATTTTGTTCTTTTTTTCAGAGTTTTGCTCTGCGAATTCGAATGTGTTGCTATCACCTGATGCAAAGACATTTGTACTCGTTGTTGAAACCACAAAGCAGAATATGCCAGTGGTTCAGACGGTGGGAAAAGGACTAGGAGAATTTTTCAATTTTTTTACTTCTCAAGCTCTATTTTTAGCTCGTCTCAAATCTCACCACCATAGTTAAACATGCCACTTCGAAGAGCGTCAGCTGGTTTAGCAAATATGCTCTTGTCACCTACGACTGTACGCTTCTAGCGTTTAAAAAATTTACAAATTTTATAACCGCTAATTTTTTTCTAGCTACCGGAGTGACATCGCAATTCTACACATATACCACCATTGACGCATTAGTTCTCGGTTTGAACTCTGCCATGAGCAGGATTACGGACCAAGGAAACTGCAGTTTACCATTGTATAAGTGAGTCGAAAGCAAGGATTTAATTTTTCACTTCAAGTGGTTGTAGACAGACCGAGCTCATTATAAAGTCGTTAAATGTTTTTATATCTAAAACTTCTCCCGGTTTCTAGCGGATAATTGAATGTTATTCTGTAAAGCTGGCTTCAAATTGAATTTGATTCATGATTCAAAGGGAATGGCGGCTGGGAGGCGGGGCTTCGAGGCCTAATCAAGGCTAGTGAATGATCAGAGAGCAAGCCCGCGATAGAGACGCAGACAGCGTCGCGGGTGCGAGCAATCGCCTTCCAGCCGCCAATCTCGTTGAATCAGAGAGTAGAATGATTCATTAATCACTTTCTATTACTTTGTAATCGTATACCCTACTTTTACAGGACGCTTGCCACAATACTGGGACAAAGCGGTAACATAGCCTGGCCGAATAGCGAGATGTTTGTGTTCACAGCGGCTGGATCCAATGATCTTTCATATCGTCCACAATTATCCTTACTGCTTGGTGAACTCCAAACTCATGTAAGTTTAAATTTCTTTCTGCTGTTGATTGTTTGAAACTTGGCACAATTCAGTTCACATACATCTATAACACCGACGTGTGCGGTAAAACACCAAGCGATGGATCTTTGACACAAACGGCTAGACTTGCTTATTCGTCCAGTGGTAATATGCTTTTCGCCACTTCCGCAGATCTTTCTACGGTTAGTACAAAACTATCATGATTGATGAGTCTTGGTTATTGATAATGATACGCGATGCCTATGAGTCGGGGCGCGTAAGAACAGATGCCTCAACTCATAGGCGTTGATTGTATTGATTAACCTCACAGGGACCACCAAGCATTCATAAGGTAATGATGTCGACCAACATCAAAATGTGTATACAGAGCTAAATTCGTAGAATGATATGCTCATGATCAGAAGCCTAGGTAGCTAATAATGAGGCGCGGTGCCTTGAGTCGCGGATTATAAAAAAATGCCGCTGGTATTGGTAGGTTTAACGGGCGTCGCCAAAAGGCCACAGCGCAGAAATCGATGTCTGTTAAGGTGTGAAAGTCCAATAAAGCTGCTTTTCGGAATTCATAAGATGAGGGACAGATGCCGCCTTTATTGATTGATTTCGCGGGAGACGTTGGCGTTAAAAAAATTAGAGAGGTGATGTCAGCTAAGCTGAAAGTACAAGGTGCTGTTTTTGAAATTTGTAACACGACTCGATCATGACTGGTCTTTTTTGGCTGCTGATAATAAGACGATATGCCTATGAGTCGGCGCGCGTAGGAACAAACGCTACAAGTATTTGGTCTAATGGGCATCGTTGAGAAGTCATAGCGCAGAAACTATTGTCGTTAAGGTAGTAGTTCAGCAAAGCTACTTTACAGAATTTAGATAATATGAATATGGTTTGTGTGTCGGCGACACCTTTGAGTCATCACGCATGATTACAAATCCCGCGGTTATAAACTGCGCTAAAAGCGCCGCCAAGCAGATATAAGATAAAAACCGATGTCGATTACGCTGAGAATGCAAGCAAGCTGCTCTTTACAGCTCAAAGGATGATTTGATTATAGAATTTAGTCTTGATAGCTAATATTGGGGTCCAATGCCCACGAGTTGCGGCGCTCAGGAACAAAAGCCGCATTCACATTTTGGTCCCACGGAATTCCTTAGTCGGTCATAAGGCAGAAACTAAAGTTAGCTAATTGTAGGCTAAAAAAATAGACAAAGCTGTTTTAAGAGGACTCATTGAATGATATGTGTTAGTAAGTCAATTGCTAATCTAGAGGCGCAACGCCTATGAGTCGTGACACATGGAATTCAATCCGCATGTATCGATTGCTCTTACAGACGCAACAAGCGGCTAAAACGTGGTAGCTGACGTCAGTTTGCTAAAATTCAGACAAAGCTGAATAAAATGAAATGAGTATGACCGGCGCGATTGGGTAACTGAAAATGAGGCGCGAATGCCTATGAGTCGTGGCCGCGAATATGCCGCGACTCATAGGCGGTGCATGTATTGATAGGCGCCGCTAAGCGGTTATAGGGTAGTAACTGATGGCAGCTGGGTTGAAAAATGATCCGAGGCTGCTTTCAATAGTTTTTTAAATGAAATTAGTATAAAAATCTTATTTTGGTAAATAAATATCTCTGAATAACCCTTTTGATTGCAGATGTTCGATGCCTATCTCTCGACACTCTATGGATCTTACGTGCTAACAAATCCGACTGGGCATCAACAATTCAAATGTGAAAACGCCAATGGATGGTTTATCGAAGTAGACTTCAGAACCACATCTGTTTTCGTAACAACAACTTCGGCCTATGGATTACTGGGAGTGATAAATCCGATGAACTGTAAGCAGCCGAAATTTAGATCTTTTTTGTTTTCTATTTTTTTTTGACCGAATTGTTCTAGCCAATATCACACCCGCCATGCTCGCCCAATCTGGCCAAACTACACTTTACGAAATTGATGTTGATCGCCTACCTGGAATCTATACTCTATCGGTAAAAAAAATACAAAATTACTTACAAGATTTAAAAAAAAATTCGTTGCAGCTGGCAAGTCCTGGCGATTGCTACGTCCATGTCTACGCTGTCGGTGGTGCAAAGATCTACTACGACTTTGCGAGCCCAACAACTGCGGATCCAATCGCGTCTCATATCGATGGATATTATAGTTATCCTGAAATTGGAGGTAAGCGTCTGGAAGCTGGTTTTCGTGGGTTATTTTCTACACGCAAATAAAATTCTGAAAAAAAGGGTATTTTGAGGAAGAAACAAGAAGTGTTGATTTCGCAGGAGGGAAAATAATAAAGATACTTAGATTTGATAAGGATCGAGACAACCGTAGTTCCGCCTTGATGAATGAAAACTGCGACGAGTTGAATGCAGTGTTCAGAAGGAGTATGTATCAATCTCCCGATAACTGATCGGGCGCTGTTTTATCGTTTGAAAACGAGTGCCCATCGCCCGATGAGACGCTCATTAGAGATACCCTTGACTCTTCCCCGGTGCCGTTTTCGTCCCACGAGGAGCAATCAGAATCTCAGATACGGCACTAAGCAAAAATTTAGTTTTGAATTTCTTGGTTATGATTGTTTTTTGAGTTGGCACTTGGCCAATAGTTCAGCTAGAGCTTCTCAAATACCCACAGATGAGATTTGGTTACAAATTTGCCCGATCAGACTTCGAAAGTTTGATAGATAGCCCCGACCAAATTTTTCGTAACCAGAATTTTTTTGTGGTAGTGGTCTGAAAAGCTCTAACTGAATCATTGGCCCAGTGGCAAGTCATAAAAATCATTCATATCCGAAAATTTTAACTCTAGACTCTTCCCCTGTATCGTACTTGGGAGCGCTGATTGGTCCGCGTGGAACGAATACGGTATCGGGCAAGTGAAGTGAATCTTCTGAGTATGAATGAAACACGTCTGCTCGGTGTTTTATTCTTTGCTATTGGCACTCACCCCTCCCCTCTCCCTCCTCCAGCTTTTCTTTTGCTAACGTACTTTTCACTATTTTCAATTTTTTCAGTAACAAATGTCCTCACTCTACATGCTGATGCTGAACCGGAGACAGTGCTGAAGCAAGTGGAGATTTTTGATCCAGACAGCAACAAGGTTTGCTCCATTGACAAAAATCGCTCTATTTGAGTCCAATAAGTGCGTTAAGGTTATTATGCGATCAGCGCTATATCGTCGTATGAATTGCACCTTTGAATATTATTCGGATCCATTCACATGCACCAGTGAGGCCATTGCAATGTTCGTCTATGGTGAAGACAGTCACAAACAGCAATTCCGTCGTCAAGAAATCACCTATTGCATTGACCCGAAGAATTCTGGTAAAAATACACAATTTTTAAGTTTTGCAGTCAACGATTACTTATGTACATTTATAGGAACAAGCGGTACGCCCCCATTGACCCCAGCCAGTCCAGTGACTCAGAAGCCAGGGACCACTAATGCTGCCTCGGTGACCACTCCCCCGCCCCCGCCACTTACGACAGCGTCGAAATCACCGCTTACAACTACTACAGGACCTCCGCCTATATCCTTCGATGTCGTCATCCTCATTGATGTCAGCCAAAGTGCAAACAGTACCTACGACGACGTAAGCTTCGACGAATTCAAAGGCAGCGTTCAAGCAAATGTGGATCCATGAACTTTCTACGTGGAAATTTTTTTGGAGGATGAGGGGAAGGGGGAGGAGGCTTTAGCTAAGCCATTGCTCAGCACTATTAATCTCCCATAACCAAAAAATTTGTCTATAGCTCTTGCCCACTACCGTACTCTCTCGATCGGTTACTGCCCCATATTACGGTGCTGGGCAAGAGTTCAAAGCTGTTTTTTGACAAAGATTTATATGTCATCCTCATGCAATGTTTAGTGTCTGGCTCATCATTCATAACTCAAAGGTTCGTCTTTGAGCTCTTGCCCAGCACCGTACTCTTTGGTCAATCAAAACCATTGTATACGGACTTGGCAGGAGTTCAAAAGTGAATCTCTCGGTCATGGAAAGAATTCACATGAGTTACAGCCTAGGCAAAGCTTAGTCAAGACCCCCAACCAGGATCCCCAGAAGCTTTTAGGTATTCAAAAATGCCTGGACACTGTCTTGAAGCCCCCGCCTTCTCGTTCTTATTCTAAAATTTGATTTTTACAGATGTCTCAGTTCGTGCTGACAGTTATGCAGGGTTTTGCTGTTTCGCAAGACTACGCTCGCACGGCTGTTATTCCCGTTTTTGGCACACCATCACTGGGCTCAATACCTGTAGCAAGCTTGGATACCATTACCTCACACAACATGTTGGCCAGCTACCTTAGCCAAACTAAGACCGACTACAATGATTTTGACGACCAGGGACAAGCACTAGCCTTGTGAGTGGTTTAGTAAATCGCATCTCATTAATTATTTGAGATATTTGATTATCCATACTATTATATAAAGCGCTAGCACCCCCATGTGAGTCAGCATGGTGTGTGTATGTTCCGGTGTTGTTTACCACTAATGGCAACGCGCCCGGCGGCCAAGATGAGTCGCGCTGATGACGTCATACAATGCTGCCTCTAGAGTTTTCGGTCATGTTCTCTAGCGATGTTTACGAGTTGGCAACAAAAGCAGCGAAATTAACACCACTTGAGCTGGCTGAATTGATTAAGCTGTTCCACTGACTGTAATAGCTTCATTTCGAAAATCATCAAGTGTTGGCCAAATCGTTTGTACATTATCTCAACATATGGAGCGTTTAATTTGGAGGGGAGCATAAGTTTTTCGGAAAAGTTAGGTATTTAATATACTGCAGTCTTCCATAGTCCGTTTCTCGAGTGAGTATGTTTCCTCACCGTAAGAGCTGCGCCAAATCTTCAATTATTCTGTCCTTCTAATTTTTCTGTTAACGTATCTCAGCAAAAAGAAGTTCTCCGTGAAGTGCTTAGTGAATGTTATTATTCCAAGTAAACTGCACTAAATCTGTTTTCGGAGGATTCTCGCAAACGTTGCTCTGGACAATCTTTGTCCACGATTTTTCATGAATAAGCACTTTGTCTGAAATGTCTACACCACAGGCTCTTTAGATTTTCTTCTTTTTCATATGCAAAGATGTTTGTCAAAGTTGATGAACTTCGAAATTTTTGGACTCCATTGAGTTGACATCCCAATACTGTGTGAACCTTTTAGATAGTTGCCAACAATTGTACGAAACACTATTTTTCCAAACGAATACAGCGTGGTCATGCAAATTGTCTTAAGACTCGATGAAAGCTGGATGCAAAAACCTTCTTCAGCTAGAAAAAGTAAACTCTAAAAAACACTTTCAACTTCCCGAGTTTTCCTTCAAACATCAAAAATTCGAAGAGTAATGTAAAAGAATGTCAATGCGATCGCGTTTGATATATTAGGACTAAATGCTGTATGAATCTGCCTTTAGTATCTCAGCTACGAATAAGAGACATGGTGGCATGCAACTTAGCTTTACGTAAACTAAAGCTTTACCAACGTACAGCGCAGCTTTGCCAGAATATTGCACAACCTCAAAATTGTATAAGAAACGAGATCTACCTAGGTGAGCAGCTAGAAGCATGGACACCTTTAAGTAGGTTCCTTCAAGAATTTGAGCTTGCTCAATAAGATGACCTGGAAAATGATCGATTTTGGAGCCTACGTATGAATTGCAAGGATGCTGGATATTTTGGGAACCTCATAAAACACGAACGAGAGTTTCTTGAAATAGAAGAGAAATTATGACGCTCTCAAAAAGAATACTTCTGAAAAGAAAAAGGGATTGTTCGAATTTGAAAAGCTCTAGATTTGGTAGTTCCAATGTTGGCTATATATTTTCAAAAATAACAATTCTTTAGTTTAATTTCGGGAAGAGATGAAAGTAGTCTCATTGAAGCTTCTGGAGGGGGGAGGGGGTTCTGCCGCAGGGATGTTAGTGCATGCGGCCCTAAGGCAGTCTGGAGGGTCAAATGTGGGGAACGGCCCCAGGTGGGAAGAGTGCACATGGCTGGGATTACTTTACCGGGTTTGGGACGGGCGCTTCAATCACAAAATTTTTTTTTGCGTTATGTTTTTTGACGTGTAAAAGTTTGAGAGCATCCGAGAAACTTCGCAGCATGGAGAACTCAGGCTAAGCCTGTCTAAATCGTGATCAGACTGAACATTTGAATAAGCAGATTTGGGGGCAACTTTCGAAGCGTGAGTCAGAACGGCCTCCTACGACTAATGCCCTCAGAACTGAAGAGTGTGAGAATGCGAGAAGAGAGTGGTACTTCAGCAAAGGATTAAGAAGTTACTGGGTTAATGAGTTGAGCGGAGGGAAACCTTGAAAGACTGGGATAGCAAAACGCAAGATTATATAAGATTCGAGCATATGTGAATTAAGTATCTGTAAATTCGTGTCTCAAGGAAGTGGGTGCGGTTAGAAAAAGCTGGGAGGGGAGCATTCATAATTCTGTTGCCAATTTTCATGAGAAAATTTTCGAAACTTCCGACCAGGAAAGATCCGTTACTTTGATAACTTCTGGGCTCATTGCGTGTTCAAATCCATGCCATACCTTTGGAGAGGAAAAGGTTCGCTACAAATCCTCAAAGGTTCTAACTTTCAGTCACATTCCCACTTCACACACAGCCAGTCCAAAGCGCCGCGAAGCGGCGCTTTGGACTGGTCTTATATATAAAGCTGAATGTCTGTTTGTATGTATGTATGTATGTCTGTATGTCTGTGTGTACGTATGTTCCGAATAGAAAATTCCATTTCTGAACCGATCCGGACCAAACTTGGCACACATACACTTCGGGCCCCGGCGCGTGTCATAGGCTACTTTTCGTCATCGATCGATATCGATTTTATCGATTTTTATCGATTTTTTTGCTGAGTTCACCTACGGGGCTGGGAGTTGGCACAGGGGGGTAATCGAGCATGGGGATTCCGAATACAATATTGGTTTTCAGGATTATCGATTACATTTATCGATTTTATCGATTTTTTTGCAAAGTTTGAGCTACGGGGCTGGGAGTTGGCACAGGGGGGTAATCGAGCATGGGGATTCCGAATACAATATTGGTTTTCAGGATTATCGATTACTTTTATCGATTTTATCGATTTTTTTGCAAAGTTTGAGCTAGGGGGCTGGGAGTTGGCACAGGGGGGTAATCGAGCATGCTGATCATCCCCAAGGGGGGTGATCAGCATGCTCGAACACCCCTGTGCCAAATTCCAGCCCCGTAGCTCAAATTTTGCAAAAAATCGATAAAATCGATAAAAGTAATGGACGATCCTGAAAACTAATATTGTATTCGGAATCCCCATGCTCACTTCCCCCCTGTGCCAACTCCTAGCCCTGTAGGTGAACTCTGCCAAAAAATCGATAAAAATCGGTAAAATCGACATCGATCGATAACGAAAAGTGGACTGTGACACCCGCCGGGGCCCGAAGTGTATGTGTGCCAAGTTTGGTCCGGATACGGCGGAGCCGGGTAAGCCAGCTAGTTTATTAAGTAAAATCTAATTGTCGTCGCTATGATTTTGAAAAATTTGTTAGTATTCTCTATGTGAATGTATAATATTTGCTTACAAAAAATATCTTAGAAAGGAAAACGTTTTTCGCACTCCTCAAAAATCATAACTTTTTATAAAAATATTCGATCAGCACAAACTTGCACTTTTGAAAGAAGAGCTTACGAGAACTTTTTGAAGCATGCTTCCAGATTTTTTTTGCAGCGTTTCAGTTTCTTTCTTGAATGTTTGAAATCAAGATTTGGAGCAGTTTTTCTCCTATTCGGCTTTCTTCTGTGGAGTCCCTTATCGCCAAAGAGCCGCGAAGATGTCACTAAAAACCAAATGAATTTTTTTGATAACTTTTTTTTTGTAAGCAAATTCATTTACATAGGGAGCAGTTGCGAATCTTTCAAAACTGAATCGACAGAACTTCGATTCAACCAAGGCATCGCGACGTGTAAAAATACTTTTTTTTTCAACAAAAGGACATCTATTTATAAAAATTCAGAGCCCTCAACAATGCCAACGATTCCAATTTCAAACAAGCCGGTTATCGCAAGAGCATCAGTAACCATCTGATTCTCTACGTTACAGCTACATCTGGGTAAGTCTCAACGTAAAACCTCAGAATTCCGAAAAAAGTCGTTAATTCAGATTCTCCGCCGATGCACAAACCACATCACAGCAGGTGCTGAAATCTGGAGATTACGGTATCGTCACAGTTGGCTATGGTCCAGGAATAACCGATCAGGGTTCATTGCAGGTTCGTACATTGATATTATATTTTTCATATATGTTACCAAATGAAGATAGCAGGAAGGAAAATTTTCACTAGCTCCACTCTAATATTGCTTGCTGTAAAATTGTGTGTACGTAATTGCACCATGCTTGCGCGTCCAACTTGTCGCTTCCAGAAACTTGCCGGTGGAAATGCTTGCTCGTTCTATGCAGCTGACAAGACTGCCCTCAATCAGCTTACAACATCTGTTCAGGCACTTATAACCACGGCAAGGTAGGCTCTACTTACTAAATATATATGGGTTTAAAAAAACAAAATCGTCTGATTTTGAGTGCCTGAAATGATAGTGGGGTCGAAATTATTAAAAACCTATAGGATGTTCAAAAACAATTTTCTGCTACCGCTTCATGAAGTTTTTCCTCGTCAGAGAAAATTCTCACCTGAATGCTTCTCTAATCCTTCATTTCAGCACCAATGGCGGAAAGTATTGCGGCAACTGATTAAGCGGTTCTATCAAGAAGATTTTTCCCGGCGAAATAAAGAATTCTATTTTAGTTGGACACACAAACTTACAATTATCATCTAGGTGCTTAGCTACCGAGTTCGGCACGACTGCAGCAAACAAATCCTTTGCCACGATGTATAAACTCAGAATTTTTTGTGATCTGTGCAGTTTCTACAAAGATAAAAGCTCATGTAGAAAACTAGAAACAAGAACTTTCAGATGGTGTCAGGGCTCAGACAGGTGGCTTACGAAGCAGGCTGGACATCGTTTTGGGGCAAAAACAGAAAGGGTATCGTCTTTACGAGGTGTCGGGTACCCGAAAAGAGTGTAGCAGCTTGCTATGGTATGTATGGAAAAATTGCCAACCCTTCATGAAAATCGGAGTCTCAGAAGTGGAAAAATCTTTGGTTTTTTTTTTCGTATGAAATTAACCGAGTAAAAAACACCCGAGTAGTTGGCTTTTGTGCCCATCAAGGTAACAAATTTTTGCAGTCCTACCCCTAAAACAAAACTTATCCCGTAGCAATTGTTAATGCACTATCATACTCCCAGCTTTATCCCCTTTCACACCCCACTCTCCCCGCACAATCCCCCCTTTCTCTCCCTCACCTCCTCATCTTCTAAAGGCGTCGCCATTTTGTGCAAAAACAGCAATTTCTCGCTGCAATATGCTCCTCTGAAAGCGCGAGAATTCAAAAATGCGCCCCGAGATGAACAAAAGTCTGTTTACAGAGAACACGAAATGATATGATACCAAAATTTGTGTGTAGATGCATAGAGGGAGGTAGAACTACGTATAAAAAGTTATGAAAAAATTATGTGAACTAAGGGCATGGCAAACTTTTTTCGGGGTTAGGTGGCTTTTAAGCCACCTGGATAGCCATCTCAGGTGGCTTAGCGCAAACAAAGTCATTTAAGTCCTATTCTTCACATAATTTTTTTCAAATTTTTTACATGAAATCAATCTGTATCTAATACTCTACAAAACAGCTTTTGTACCTCCCCAAACCCTCTCCTCCCCGCTTAGTTATAGCCCTCCAAATTATTTGGATGGCTGCTGCAAAGCTGCCCCAAGCTCGCGGTGGTGCGCGGCGGACACAGCATGCCGCCAACCCGAAGAGTACAAACAATCACTAGTTCTTATTGCCTATGTATTGTCGGTCTTGTATTCTGTTTCATTCTTCTGTTTTTGTTTGATTGGTTCGTTAGCGTGTCAGGGGGGACGTCGTACTTTTGTGGCGAAGTCAAGGGGGACTTCGTTTTTTGCATTTTCAACTGGCCACCTCGTGCCGAGCCTTGGATGGTGTACAAAGTTTTGTGTGAAAATCCTTCATCTTTGTGCAAGCAATTAAGGAAAGAGGAGTGCAAAGCCATATAGACTGTGTTTGATCTGATAAAAACCAAAGAAGCCAAAGAGAAATGTGACCGATTTTCACTGAATTGATGGTCTCTAATTTTGCTGAGCATAAAAGAAGAAATTGGATTGGAATTACTTCAGACCAGAAACTTTCCAAACAATGCGAACATAAATCATCAAGCTCCAAGTATCTATCTAAATGAGTTGCTGACCTCGTCAAAAATTTACAAATGTCTTCAATGTGCTGAAGTTTAAAAATGAAGCCGTCAGATATATACTCCTCAACATGTAGAGTTGCAGTCATTTGTGATAGAAAAAAATCATTAGTTTTTATTTTGAACAATGAAAAGATTGAAAGAACAGTTCGAAAACTTCATAGATCTTTCAGAATCACAAAAGCCACTATTAGATATGGGCAAATGTGAGTATAAATAGTAGAATTCAGCTTATCTTTGATGATTGTAGAATTCCTTGCAAAGAATTTTATTTAAACATGATTTTGAACAAATGCACAGCAAACTTGAAATTGCAGACCTTCACTCTTATAAGAATATACATTAGTAGCTGCGATAACTTGTGCAGCTTATTGGGTAACAAACTTTATCATTTCTCAATCACGGAACATGCCCCTGATAGGTATGCACTACTGGAGATGCTGCTAACACATACATGATTCAGAGGCAAAAGGCTGTCTAAGCAGAATCTATGGGACTTTATGTCGCTACTGGTGGCCCATGTACAATCCTCGTAAATTGTGTAAAGAATTGGCGGCGGCCGCTTAACTCAGGCGGCAGCCACCGAAGTTAAGCGGCGGGCGCCGCAGTAAAGTGCACTTAACCGCGGCGGTTGCCATGGCAATCACCGCGTCACGCGACAAAGTTAGGCGGCGGGCGCCTGACTTCGGCGGCCGCCGCCTAACTTTTTTACAAATCGTCGAAAAACCTTATCTTGACTCAAAGTTTATGAATTCTATATTCAAGAGTACCATTCAACTCAGCTCGGCGAAGCGCATCTTCCAGTATATAGATGTGCCTAGTCGTGTAATATAGGTTTCTTTCTTGGGATTTGAGTGTGAATAGGTTATTCATTGTGCTGATTCAAGAGGCTACATTCTGCTGAGAAATACGATAAGTATAGTTTAAGTGCACATTCTGCACGGATATGTGTAAAATTGGGCTTTTCTCGGCGAAGTATGACGGGTCCCAAAATGCGGAGACAGAGAGGAATGGCTGGAAATCGCATACGAAGCAAATATCGTGGAATGCCGCGCGTGCTGTGCAATGTACATACCGCTCGGAATTTGAAGGCGGCAGCTGCTGAACTTGAGCGGCCTAATTTCGGCGACGCCGTTGTCGAAGTTCGCGTCGCATTTTAATATGAACCCAAATGCAATATTCTGAATTCGGGATTTGAAAACTCAGTTTGGCGAGGCGCACTTCTGATATAGAGTGCCTCTTCTTGGTGTAAGGTAGGTGTACGGTATGCAGTCAATTTCACGTTCTTCTCAAAATTTTAGTGTAGATGGAGTATTCACTGTGCTGATTCCAGAGGCCACATTCTGTTGAGTGCTGCAGAAATACGGTAGCTATAGTTTAACAGCTCATACTGCACGAATATGTGTAAATTTTTGTTTAGAGCTTTTATTCGGTTTGCTGCTTACAAAAATCTCATTCATCTGCTGCAACGTCTCATGAGCTGCTATTTAACTTTTCTTTGCCGAAAGGCAGTCATTGATTGCGCCGGTGGCAAACCGTTGAGGTACGGTAAATGTAAGGCTGAAGGCCAACTGCTCGGATCTGTTTGGACTCTTGATTGCCACTCCTGCGAAGAGCAGTGAGGTAGCATTCTAGGAGAAGTTGTAAAGAGATCCTACTTTATACGCACTATACCTAAAGTACCTCTGCGTATGCTCAGCAAAATGTGGCCTCTAAAACCAGCACACTGAGTAGTTCATTCAAGCTAAAATTTCCAAGAAAAACGTGAAATTCATTGCCTACCGTGCACCTAACCCCACGACTAAGCACATCTATATACTGGAAGATGCGCCTTGCCGAGCTGAGTTGAATGGTACTCTTGAATATAGAATTCATAAACTTTGAGTCAAGATAAGGTTTTTCGACGATTTCCAAAAAAGTTAGGCGGCGGCCGCCGAAGTCAGGCGCCCGCCGCCTAACTTTGTCGCGCGACGCGGCGGTTGCCACTTAACTGCGGCGGCCGCCGCCAAGGGATCGTTCAGACCGCGCCTGTACCCGCCCAAATACGCCCGAATACGTCCAAATACGCCCGAATACGTCCGAATACGTCCAAATACGTCCGAATACGTCCAAATACGTCCGAATACGCCCAAACCCGCCCGAACGCCGAAACTGCCAATGCGCAGCAAATTGCATGCAAATTCGCATATTGGAGCACGCGTGGAATACTGCGTGCGTGGTGCATATATGGTAGCCACACGTAGCTCGACGTTACATACCGATTTTCATATGCGACTAGCGGGATTACAAAGATCAATCGACTTTGCGTCTGTTTTTATTTCTTCTCATGTTTGCTGACTAGGTGAGTTCTAACTTTCGTGCTGTGCGTTTTCTTTTCTTTTGAGCATGACGATCTTGTTGAGGTAATGCTTTGTTCTGTCTATGAGTCATTTCTTTCCATATTGATCTGGTGCAATAAAAAGGCCCGGTCTTTGCTCAAAAGCGCCCAAATTTTTCTGTCTTTCTCTGGAGGAGAGATAGGAGTGAAGAGAGATTCAAAAAACTTGAGCGCTTTCGGGCGCTTTTGAGCGAAGTCTGGCAGGGGCCGAAGAGGTATTCTAGTCATCTTTACGCGTTAGGCATACTGTCCCTGTAAAGTATAAACAAAAAGTTGACAACGCACGTACTTAGGAAACAGACAAAGAACATGTGCATATTCTACTCATTCCAGATCAATATGGAAAGAAATGACTCATAGACAGAACAAAGCATTACCTCAACAAGATCGTCATGCTCAAAAGAAAAGAAAACGCACAGCACGAAAGTTAGAACTCACCTAGGGTCAGCAAACATGAGAAGAAATAAAAACAGACGCAGAGTCGATTGATCTTTGTAATCCCGCTAGTCGCATATGAAAATCGGTATGTAACGTCGAGGTACGTGTGGCTACCATACAGTGACCGCCAAAAAGTTGCGGACAAGTCTCCTTCTCTTCTTCATCGCTCTATTTCAGAAGGAAAACAAGGATAAATAAATGTAGTAATTGCATGAGGTGATAGAGCTCTTCAAGATCTACAATATACACTTTGCGTTTTTCGAAAAACATGTATTCTAAAAATTTCAAAAAACTTTTTCTAAAAAAAGTCCGAAAATGGCCGCGTCACAATGTCGCGGACAATAATTCTTCGAACGCAAAAATTTTCTTTTGAGTCCTATTCTGA